AACTGATCCTAAATGGTCATAAAAGCATCTACGCAGAACCAGGAGAAACTAAATAAACATTTCTGCTCTTGCGGAGACTCAGAATGTGTTTAAGAGCCAGAAAGCGTCTCCGTCCAGCTCAAGCTGCTGCATGTCTTTATTTGTGAGTATTTTTTCATGCCGGACTCGATCACACCCAGCAACCATTCGCTCCGCTCCGTCCAAGTTGCGGCTCCAGGGAGCATGAAGTCCGCCTGCTGACACCTCCGAAGCTTTCGCTCAACTGGCCGATTGAACGGGAGAAACCTGGGTGTGGATTCACACGTCAGGCTGATTCTAGGAAACGCTTGTGGAGCCTCCAGGCGGCTCGGCCTGAACTGGTTTCAGTTTTTCCTAAACGCGTGAAAAGAGCTGAAAGCTTGAAGGTGGCAGCGCCGATAAGAGCTGCTTGTTTTCAATGCTTTAATCTCTTTGGCATTAATCAGTTCATTTATGAATTATTCAGCCCATCAGACATTAGAAACATGAATATTTTCCTCCCAGTTGTTTGTTTCCTCCATTTCTTGACCTCCGTTCTTCCCATCATCAAGTTTATTTATGTAAAACTCATAACATATGACTTATTTATTGCTGATTTCTTCTTCTCCACCCATGACCTTCCATTAAAGCCTCCGTCATCAGTCTTCACCTTCCCTTTTTTATCTTAGGATGCATTAACATGAGCAGAGCAGCTTTTTGTTTTCTCTGTCTTGGAAGTAAAAACAAGAGTCTGGTGAACCTTTTGCAATCCCACAGAAAAATCTGTGTCCGTTTCCTTCCTTTCCTCTTCGGTTTCCTGCATTCTCCAGAGATTGGGTCTTCAGCCCAGTTTCCCAACGCCGAGCCGCGCCGGCGGCCGGCCGGCTGGGCGGGCGGGCGGGCGAGCGAGAGGCCTCACACTCCCTCACTCACACAGAAAACAACACAAAACAGGAACTTCAGCTTTAAACAGTTTCGTTTGCTATTGTTCTGCTTGTTTGTTGCTCCGGTCACTTTGGGTCAGGACTGGCACAGGTCTCACTCTGAGGGGTCAAAGTTCATCGCAGATTGAATAAACTATATGACAGGTTGTCCAAACTGCGGCCTGGGGGCCTTTTGTGGCCCTTGGACTGATTTACGAATCGCTCAGGTTTGTTTATTTTAATCAGGGTAAAATTATTACCCAAAATTTTTTTTACAATGTAAAATGTTTGGAACAATAAAAAGTATTTGTGTTTATATTCTAAGCTTTTACAACAGATACTTAAATTTAAGACCTTTTAAGACATTTTAAGACCATCATAAATAAAATTGAAGACCTAGATCTTCACAGAAATGAGCAATTATCCATTTTAAATACAAAAAGCTGGTTAGCTTGCAGATGGTCACTCAACTGAATCAAGCCACAGATCAGTTTCAGTTTAAACACATTAATTTTTAAACACATTTAAAAGGCTTTCAATGCCAGTAGCTAGCAGATAAATAGCCTCAAATGTCTGTGTGACCAAAACTTTTGCCTGATAGAAAAGTCTTGCAAAAACAGAAAATACTTCAAATATAAATAGTTGTGCCGTTTGTTTCCTCTGCAGCTGGTTGACTAGCCTGCGGTTTGTTTGTTCACTTTAATCAGTTAAAATCATTTCTACTGGTTCTGATGGGAAGGAGTCACAGCAGCTTCAGAGCTGCTGGTTTCCATGAAAACGACCCGTTTTCTTGGACCCACACTCAGATTGTGATCTGAATACGTCCAGGTTTCATCCAATGGAGCCAAACTCTGTGCTTTAACTAGGACGGGTTGTAACCGAGCCGGAGTTATGACTTCCTCCGCTTGCTGCCAACTTTCCCTTTCAGACAGAGAGAATATTTCAGGACTTCCCTTTTCTGCTCCAGTCCTCCCACTGCCGGCGTTTCTGCTGGATGCACCTGTTCATGCAGCTCAAACTGGAAACTACACATTTAGAACTGGGTGAAAAAGGAAATCGTCCCGTTTGTTTCTTTGAATAACCCAACTGTTCATTTGAAAGTAGAAACTTTCATGAATTTTTCCTCCAGAGGACTCAGAGAGTCTTTGATGTCCGCCGCTCCGCTCCGCTCTGCAGGACGGCAGGAACGTTCTGGTTTCCTCCGGCCGACCCTGAAGCTGTACTGAGAGCTTCAAGCTGTGTGGGTTGTTGGCTGTTTCCCCTTTATTTCATAACGCGACATTATGAAAGCTGATTATGTTCAGAGTGTCACTTGAAGGGAGCTGGCGGTCATGTTGTGTTAGTCATTGTTTTGGTGAGTCATTCATGCACCAGAAGAAGAGAGTTCTGCGTCAGACAGACACACTGAGCCGTTTTCATGTCGTCGTTAACGAGATTCAGCGACTCGCTCCCAAACTGCAGCCTGACGAGGAACAGAGGAAACTTATCATCATGAGTTACGTCTGAAATTCTAGAATTTAGGATGAATTTGGTCTAATTCTGTTTACATTTCAGCAAATTCAGATGGTTTCTTGTGTGCAAGAATCATTAGTGGATAAAAAACACAGAAAACCTGAATAGTACTAAACCAGGAGGTGGAAAGGAGGCTGCAAAAGCAAATGAAGTGGATTAGCAGAGCTGGTTACTGGAGCAGCTCCAGTAACCCCGGTAACAAGGTATTGCTTTTACAACTGGCAGCAGCTAATTAGCATCTGTAACGCTCAAATAATAGCTGAACTTTGACCCCAAAGCCCAAAGGAGTTGAAAAGGAAGCTGGATTTTATCCCCTACTCCAGCATCTCTCACCGACACGCTGAGAGGGGAAGAGCAAAATCAAACTGAGTGACTAGCATGTTAGCATGGAGCTATTAGGCAACAGTCTTCAGTCAGAGGCTTCTCCAGATGAATTGCGAGACTGACTGCTACTGGAGCTCCTTCCTGCTCCAGCATCACCACCAACAACAACAATGGATCTGAAGACAGTTCAACATTTATCTTATTTTGGGATGAATGGAGTATTTTCCTCTGAGTTTGGTTGAATTGTTAGTTTGGTCTGAACCCCTCGCATCGCCTCCTCCTCCTCTTCCTCCTCCTCCTCCTCTTCCTCCTCCTCCTCCTCTTCCTCCTCCTCCTCCTCCTCCTCCTCCTCTCCCTCCTCCTCCTCCTCCTCCTCCTCGACTCGCTGTGCGCCTCGTCCTTGTTGCTCAGTGCATGAATATAAATTGATGTTTGAGTTTTCTTTCTTCTCATTTGAGGTTTACACACAGCGATAAATCGTTCCCTTTCCCTTCCTGCTGTCTGCCGCAGAAGCCCGGCGGCGCTGCCACACCAAGCAGAGCCGAGTTCAATATCGTTTCCTTAATTACGTTCAGGTTTGAGCGAAGGGCTGAAGAGGATTTCAGTAAACAACCTCTGACTGTTTACACAGACGTCTTATCTGAGGGATGAAACACAGAGAAGACAACTGCAGCTGCAACAAGCTGAGGACAATCTTCATGACTCACAGCGATAATAATCAGGAAATGGACAGAATAAAGTCTGAAGGACATGAAGATGCTCCTTTTCTGTCGGATGTTTCTTATTTCTGCAGCTTAGATTCTTTTCCTCATGACATTATTTACCATGCATCGTTTTCCTTCCACTTCACTTTAATTCTTCACTGGCATTTTGTTGGAAGCTCACAGTAAAATACCCAAAATACTGAATTTGTGGTTCAAACATGACAAAATATTACAAATTAAACTCTGTGAACATTTCTGCAAAGCAGTGTAATCACATTCTTAAATGGATTTGATGAATGGGAATTAATCTGAATGTGAGCCAAAAACACGCACATTTAAATACGCTTTGTTTTTGGGCTGTATTATTGGACCTCTGCTTTTTCACTCTCCCTGCTTTGACTAGGACATCTGCTTTTTCAATTAAATTTTCCTTTGAAAAATATAAAAGACTGCTAACCAACATTAGAAACTGGTTGCATTTCAGAATAGATTTTCATATTTGGCCCAAACAGCATCACCAGAAACACAAATATCAACTTTTTAAAATGTTTGGCTTCAGAGCTGCTAGCTGAAAAATTTCCTTTGAGTCAAAGTTAAGTTGTTGTTTTCAATATGGGAATAGCAATATGTGGAAAAGCCAAAACATGTTTTCTCTGCAATAGTTACAGATGTTTAGCTTTAAAATGATGCAAACAGTCAGATTACTTTGTTTCATTTTGCTCTTGGATCTGAGTTTTCTGCTTTTTGGTTCATTGTTTTGGCCTTTAATGGGACATTTTCGCCCATCAGTCATTTTCCCTGGAGCCGGACTCCAACAGCGGACAGGATGTTTATCTATTAGACCTCAGGATCTGTTTCCTGAGGATTCAACCTTCAGCAGGCTGCAAGTTTCTGTTTGCTTCCTGTTAAAATACACAATAGCAGTGATTTTACACTTTAATCTCCTGCTGATTTACTGGAAAGAGCTTAAACAGAGAATATGTGTAAAAATACAGATATTTGCACTTGATTGTAATTTAGTTAAAGGGAAGGAAATTACCAAACCGAAAGTTTCTACAGAATAAATTTGTCCCAAAAACATTTCTGAGCTTGAGAAGTTTAAAATTTTCCAGAAAAAAAGTGAAGTTTTGAGATTATTTTTAGGATAGTTTTCAGAAAAAATGTTGACATTTCTGAGCTCCAAAGGTCAAAATAATGGCTTGAAATTATTTTGGGATTAATCCCAGAAAGTTTCTGAAAAATATATGGAAAAGTCCAAATTGTTCAACTTTTGAAACCCAGAAATTTTCATGTTTTTTCTAGAAATTTTATGTTAAAAAACAATCTTTAAAAATTTTTTTTTACATTAATCTCAAAATTTCAAAATTTTATCTGCCAAATTTTAAACTTTTCAAAGTCAGAACTTGTTTTAGAAAATTTCTGAAATTAATCTCAACATTTCTGAATTTTTCAGTGCTTCTCCTTTCATTAAATCACAATAATCAGTGGCAAATATCTAGAGTTTTAAAAATATTCCTGTTTTAATGAAATTTTCTCAGCGTGAAATTATATATTTTTATGAAGTTATTAGATTTATCTCCAGTCGTTTTCTTAAACTTTTCCCCGGTGGTTTTCTCAAGGTCATTTTTAAATGCATGTCGTGCCAGAGAGAGAATTTAACTGGTCATCTGGAGAAAGACGTGCTGAAAATGTCCGCTCTGGGCTTCCGTACGGGAAAGGTTCTGCGTTCTGGTGGAATCTGTTGTCTGGTTGCAGTGAGGTCCAGTGGACCGGCTCCGGCTGAATGTTGGGACTCGTCCAGCGTCGCTGACAGATTTAGCACGGAGCTAAATCCCTGAACCTCTGGTGTCAAATCCAAGGGTAAAGGAAGTCCGGCTGTTGCAGCAGTGCTGTTTATGTTGCCATGGATCCGCAGGCTGCAGAGCATTTTAGCAGCACTGCTGCCTTAAACATGCAAACTATTGACGGCTGGCGCTGCGTCGCTCCGGGACAGACGGACAGCGACAGATCCTGTGTCTGTCCTCAACCCTGCAGGACAAGAGCATCAGGGATTCCCAGAAGAGCCGCAGGCCGCATTTAGAGCTGCGACGCATGAAGAGCTGCGACGCATGAAGAGCTGCAGCAGGGAGGCAGAAAGCTGCTGACCCAGGACTTTACCTGTCAGGAAACGACATGCAGAACGTTCAGATTTAGAAACTGACTCTCTGGATCGAAACAAAATCTGAAAGTGGTTCAGCTTTCAGAGAAAATACCTAAAAGCTGAACTCTGACCCTAACTGACCTCAGCAGGATGTTTCACATCAAGTTTTACTTTAAACGTGTTTCTTATTTTATAAGTGAAACAATATTTTAAACTTATTCAATAATTATTGACGTAAAGAAACACTCGATAAGATTTTGTTTTTGCTGTTTTCCCACCTGATAGTTTCGATGTTTGTCTCTTTTCTCCACATCCTGTCAGTTCAGACCGTTAGCTTCATGCTAACTGACGCCCCTCTGCAGAAGCTCTACTGCAAGAGAAACGTTAAGTCAAATAACCTGAACTGTTTGTATTTAATCATCAGTGACTCTGGAGGAAACATGCTGCAGGGGTCAAATGTCACGTCCACCACAGTAAATCCCTCCCAGTGTTTCCCAGGAATCTGAAGACTTGACACAGTCCAGCAGAGGAGGCAACAGATTCTCAGATATCTGCACCTGTCAGAGCAGAGCGGGGTAAAAACACAGGGCAGGGGGTATTAATACACGCATAGGGCAGTTACTGTTTTAGATATGGAAAGACCCAGGATAAGAAAATAATAATAATTAGGAGAATAAAAAAGAATAGTTATACTGCAGTCAAAATATGAGAATAGGCACAATAATATGTCAAATAAAGTGGCAATAATTCAAGAAAACATCATATTACCAAAACAAATGTGTAATAATGCAAGAATAAAACCTGTATAACAAAGTTGTATTAAAAGAATAAAGTCATAAAAGTATTAGAAAAAAGTCACCAGAAGATAAAGTCATAAAATTAACTGAATATATTTGTAATTTTTTAAATTCCTACACAAAAATAATAAATTAAAATGAGGAATGTTCGGATCTGGTGAAGTTATACTTTGGTGTAAGTTTTATAGTTTTAACACATCATCAAATTATGATCAGCAGCAGAAGTTTGAAACAAATATGAATATTTCAGAGAAAGACTGAAATGGTTCCGTCAGATTCAGAACTGGAAACTTTTCTCATAAAATTTACATAAACTTAACAGATACAGACAAAAACTTAATAGAAACTTGTTGATTTATTGTTCAGTAAGAAACAAATGGTTTCATATTTAAGGAGGCGACGTTTCTCTGTGACGGGAAAATAATCCCCAGAATAATCCCCAGAATAATCCCTCCTCTGACTGGAAACTGAAACACGATTTAGTTCCCAAATCCTCTTTATCTGGATGATGGAGGAAGAGGAGGAACAGCGAAGAGCGAAGGCGGGAGACAGCGGACCAGATTTAAACGGATTTTTTTTTTTTAAGGTCAATTTCCACAAAAAAAATCTAAAAATTTCCCCAAAAATTCCAAGAAAACTTCTGAGCTCAAGAAATTTGCAAGAAAAATTTCTGAAATGTTGAGTTGAATCTGAAGAATTCCTTAGATTTTTTTTAAAATTTGCAAGTAAAAAGACTGAAATTTTGAGATTTTCTTGTAAAAACTTGCAAATGTAGATATGAGCTCCAAAAATTGGAAAAAAGGAAGGAAATTTCTAAGTTTGAAAAGCTGAAAGTTTGTCTCAAAAAATAGATATTAAGAGTTTCAAAGAAAAAAAATAAAACAAATTCACTTTTGAAACTCAACTTTCAAAAGTGAATTAATCTCAAAATTTCAGATTTTTCTTGCCAATATTTAACTTTCCAAACTAAAAAAGTGAGTTTTTTGGCTTTACTCCGTTTTCCAGTCACACCGAGAAAAGAAACTGTAGCAGTCAGTATCACAGCGGCCCTCAGGAAGCCTCTGACTTGTGCTAAAATAAATGAACTCTTTGAATAACTGAACATTTAGTTACACAAAGAGTTCATGAAACATTTATTTGGGTCACATTACACAGCAAAGCGGGGTTATGTGGAGCAGTGCTGTGCTGTCAGTATCTGTATCATATTAATGATTCGTCCTTCAAAAATTGTTCAGTTATGTTACGAACTGCTTGATTTCAAGTGACTAAACCTGACAATCTGTTCTGCTGACTCATTTTTAACAACATTTCTTCAACTTTAACTTCAAAAATGTTCCCTGAAAAAACTTAAAAACTAAAATAAAAACAGGTCGTCTTAATGAAGCAACATAAACCTTCAAACTTCAGTACAGGGCAGAGCGGCACAAATTTGTGCTTCAATGTAGAAGGAAAATTCACATTGAAGAGATTCTGAGTTGGATTTACTTTGACTGAGCCATTTGTAAATATGTGAGAACAGGTTTGTTCTGTTAGCGTGATTTGGTGTTTTGCCATTAGCGTCTTCTGCCCACAGAAGGTTTTTATGGACTGAAGATCCTGTTTGTTCTGTTTCCATTTACAACAGCTCGACTCCACAAACTCGCAGCAACGAGGAACTGAATTACGCATCAGTGGAGCAGATGTTCCTCCTGTTTCTGCCACCAGCTGCTCGGTTTCTAAAGTCAGTCGAAACTGAGCAGCAATCGTTTGGAGAAAAATGGAGGTTCATTTTTCAAAGTTGTGTTTTTACCACATCATTCATTCATTTATGAACGTTAGTTTAGTTTGAGGCATAACCAAAACCAAAGATAAATGTTTAGCCTGCTAACATTTTTACTTTGGATATTTGAGTTATAAACCAAATACCACAAAAACAATTTAGTCTTATACTAAATAATCACTTCAACTAAATAATTAATCTGCTAATTATTTAGCATTAATTTTATAAATTAATGCTCAAGATGAAGATAAATTTTTCTTTCCAGTTTAAATAATCAACTTTTTTGCTGTTCATTTTTTATAGTGTAGCTTCACAGACAGAAACTACATTAGCATAACATGCTAATCTGCACAGCAGGTGAAATTGTTAATGAAACCGTTTTATTGGCTTTGCTTCCTCAGTGAGTCTTTGTGTCATCTGCACATATTTAGCATCATTTCTCTGCGTTGTCTGAGGAAACATAAATCACATCACACTCGTTTAACGTCTGCAGCCTCTTTAAAGCGTCTCGCGTCTAAAAGAAACTTCCTGACTGAGCCGCTGCTCGCGCTGCCAGAAGCTCTTTGTCTTTTCAGGAAATGCCAATAAAGAAACAACAAACTCAGGCTGTGCTGCACTAAACTGGTTTAGTTTGCAGATACACACAAGAGAGCAACATTGTCTAGTTCACCCACATATTAAAAAGAGAAACATTGACATGTAAATATAGATATATGTATATATATATATGCATGTTCTTCACATCCAAGGAATAAAAACCAAACATTCAAACAGCAGTGGAGTCAATCAGAGTTAGTTACAGTACGGACTGCAGACGTCGTCCTCAGTGGTTCACAGAAGAATCACTGAGACGTCAAACAAACGAAAACGATTCACATAAATACAGAGAAACTCGCAACATGTTGCCAAAACGCTTTGGCTTCACCGCAGTTCATGAGTTCACTGCAGAGACCGACACATTCCAACGCTAACAGGACCGTCAACGACGTTTATATCAAAATTCCATTAGCAGACACAAAAACAGCCAAGATGGAAAAATAAATAAATTTTACCTTTTAGTTTCTAGTTCACAATTAACAGGAGCTAACACCATTAGCTAGAGCTAACAACATTAACAGGAGCTAACACCATTAGCTAGAGCTAACAACATTAACAGGAGCTAACACCAATAGCTAGAGCTAACAACATTAACAGGAGCTAACACCATTAGCTAGAGCTAACAACATTAACAGGAGCTAACACCAATAGCTAGAGCTAACAACATTAATGCCTGCTAACACCGTTAGCAGGCGTTAACACGATTGGCAGGCATGAATGCCATTAGCTGGAGCTAACAACATTAGCTCTAGTTAAACATTTAAATGGATTTTGCACGTTTGCCTGTTTAAAGGCATCAAAGTCACTTCCTGATTACTTTTGGTGCCTAGTTAAAGTCATTACATCAGATGTTTTCATCATTTTGCAAAAATTAAAAACAAACCAAATTTTTGGCCAGCATTTGATTTGTGGTTGGGGGGCCACACAGAGTCAGTAGAAGGGGCCACATACGGCCCACGCGCCACACTTTGGACATTCTTGAATTAGACCAAAAATTACTTGGTAAGATTTTGTGTTTTTGTAAGAAAGGGAAAAAAACATGCAAGACAGATCCTAAACAGTTTTTATTCCATGAAGCAAGAATAAAAAAGTAAGTGCACCCTTCATCCCTCCATGCAGAAACTGATCAGCACCAAAACAACAGGTCGGGTTGAATGAGGAGGTACTTTCTTTTCTTTTGTCACAAACAAAACATTTGTAGTATTTCTGTTGCTGGGTTTCAGACACGCGACCCGCAGAATTCAGATGGAGGTCCGGAAGAGATTTTATCTGGTTCCGATCAAATGGATCACAGCGAGTCGCTAAAGCCCTAAACGGGCTGGAGCAGACGAGGCGTCTCGGAGAAACACGATCCGTATTTGGTTCTGTTAACCCAAATCATTGCTGGAGTTGCATGTCAATGTGGAGACGTTGCAAATCGGTGCAGGTCAACGATTCGCCCCGATCTGCAGAAACCTCCATGCTGGTTTTTAAACCCAACTCCCTTGTTGTGACCAATTACCTTTGAAGCACGAACATAATCCTCTCCATTAGGACGGTTGGAACAACTGCACAGGACTCAGACTTTAGACATCTTGATGCTGACCAACAGAAATAACTGGGCTGCGTTCACTTCCTGCCCTCCATCTGGTGCCGCCGGCGCCTCGTCATCTGAAACCCAGCGGTGACCTCACAGCCCGGTCAAAGACAGGAAGTGGAGACATTCGATGAACAAACAACCGGCGGCGGCTCTGTTGAAAGGTGAGAGCTTCGCGCTCTCGGGCAGGCACAATGGAGAGGCCACGGCCATGTTGATAGGTCCAAGGGGCGGGCGGAGACGGGCGTCGCCCTCTGGCTCCGCGCTTTTGAATTTACAGAAATACGGCCTAGACAAATCATGCAGGCATTCTCTGGCATGTTCACTCGGAAAACTGGCTGGATGTACAAAATTATTTACAGCAGCTGAAACGTTCCAGCGTTACGGATCCGATGGATCCAGTGGAAAGCGCGCCGTCGACGGAGGAGAAGTGCAATCTTCATCATCTTCAACTGAAAACGTCTGATCTACACTCAAAAAACAAGCTAAAGGAGATTAAATAAATCAAAAATATACTTTAAAATAATGGTTATTCTCAGAAGGAACAAATATGAAAAAATAATCTTTGTGCATGTTTAATATTTCTTCTCTTTGGTGTGATTAAATCTGTAATTTTATCAAATTTTTCCATGCTGTGTCTTCAAAGAAATACTAAAAACTATATATTTCTGCAGTAATAATGAACCCATACTGGCCTTAAAATGACATTTTTAACAAAAGAAGCTGTTCAGACACGTTCAGTTCGCCGTACAGGAAACATTTACCGAGTTTTCTCCTGATTCTGGGGCCAAAACCAAATATTTACTGCAAAAAAGCAACAAAACGTTTGCTGCTCTAAATGATGCTGGAGCTTTTATCGTTTTGGTGTTTTTGTTCACAAAAGTTCAAAGTTGTATGGCGCAAAATTTGATCAGAATAAAATGAAAAAAAAAAAATTATTGAAAAAAAAAAAAGATTTGAAACTGAAAAATAATAAATTTTTAACTGAAATTCTTACAATAAACAAAATTAAATAAAAAATTAAAAAAAAAGATTTAGTACTGAAAACTAATTTTTAATAAAAATCTTTTTGAAATTGAACATTTAATTTTAATTTGAAAAAATTAGAATTCCAAATGTCACATCAACGAAAAGTGTCTCGGCACCATTTTAGCTCCATATCAGACCAACTCTATTTGCTCTCAAATCTTTTTTTGCCGTTAAAAAAAAATAGTTTTCAGTTTTAGATCTTCTTTCCAGTTTCAAAACTATTTTTTCAGCTTCAATTTTTTATTTCCATTAAAACTTTAAGCCTCACACTTTAGCTCCATAGAAGCATCTGCATTATTTTAGTTCCATATTTTTTAACTTTTTTGTACCCTCTCAAATCTTTTTCCAATATTTTTTTCCTATTAAAAACTTTAAAAATATATATTTTTTAAATTTTTTGGCTCCAATTGAACTCCATAAAAGTTGTGCACAATTCCAAATGGCCCTGAATTAATTAGCTTATATACCAACACATCCTGAACCTGCGTTGAAAACCCACTAGCTGACGAGAACGAAGGGGAGACAGGATTTTGCAGAAGGTCGAATCGACGTTGAGCTGATATTAAATCAAGGGGTGTTCTTAGTTTCTCCCTCAGTCTGTACATTTCTCTCAACATCGAGGACATTTTTGCACTTCTGAGATAAAATCTTTGAAAGAGGAGAATGTTTCCATAATTTCACTTTTCCAGCCGACAATCTGAAGCTTCGACCCGAAACGGCGTCGGTGTTCGCTCAGTCCGAGAAAAGGGAATGTGACGTTTCCTCCCGGCCGTCGAGGCAGAATCCGTAATCAATACTGCGTCGGATCAATGGAAGCGAACGACAGCGGATCAGGAAGTAACGGAGAGCATGTCTGAAAAAAACTCAAACTGATTCATTTTCTAGAAGAATCATGAAAATATCAACAATTTGAGAAAAAAATCTCAAACTTTGAGATGAACCTGGAAATTTTCTGAACTTGTAAAATCAAAATTTTTCAACTTTTTTTTTCTTTGCAAATTTCAAACGTTTTGAGGGAATTTTCTTATTTTTTCCAAAAAGTCTCAAAATGTATTTTTCTTTCTTTTCCAGACGCGTGTTCCTTTTCTCCATCTGCAGCGGTTCTGACAGAAACACGACGGCGGCGGCGCTTCGTTGGACTGGAATCCACGTTTCTCCAGAAACGGACGGTTGGATTTGGCAGTTTGTGTTTTTACAGTGAAACCGACCGGCTTCAGTCACGCAGTGAACCAGCAGTCGCTAAGACAACGTGACGGCGTCCAATCGGAGGCGCGGCGCCGCGCTCACCTCGCCCGGGCGAGCGAGCGTTCCCGCGGCCGGTTCGCCGCTCGGCAGCGCCGGGCGTCAGGCGAAGGTGCTGTCCGCCTTCAGGACGGCGACGTCGGCGTCCTGGAAGCTCTTCCCGTTCATGTGCTCCGTGTGGCCGTCGATGGAGTAGCAGCCCTGCACCTCGATGATGGAGGACGCCGTGTAGGAGGCCGAGCGCAGCGCGTCCGAGTGGTTCCCGATGCTGCTGCCGAACTGGATGTGGTGCTGGTTCCAGTGCCGCCTCAGAACCGCCTGGACCTGAAAACGGGTCAGACGTTTTAGAGGCAGAGATCGCAGCGACGCATGAAACGTTTTCATCAATGCTTTGACTAGGACAACAAAGAAGCTGTTTTTAATTCAGCCTGGCGAGGAATTAGACATTTGCTTTATTCTTCAGAAAACAGAAGGAAAATTATGAAAATCTTAAGAAATGCAAATCTTTCATTGTTTAATGATTGGATATTGATTCAGTCCAGAGATTCTGTTGAAACGGCCGATCAGAGGAAAAGCAAACGTAAACAAATGAAGCATTTATTTAAAATATTACGTCGTTCTCACGTTACAGGAATGTGTAGCTGGCAGCCATCTTGGTAGAAAACTCTCCGTTTATGTGTCAGTTTTAAAGTTGTTGACTCAAAATACGAATTAAACCAACAACTTTTCTGATTATCTCCATGGAAAATGGCGGCTCTGCTAGCGTTAGCCGCAGCTAGTGGTCTGTAACAAAAAAAGAAAATCCTCCAACCACTAAAATCTGATGCTGCTCCATTTTTGCTCATATCAAAGCTAGCAGCTAATCTGGGTCAGCTAATCGCTAACAGGGGTCAAGCTAGCAGCTACGTAACAAAGCTAGGTGCTAGTTGCTCATGAAGCAGGAAGTTGCCTTCTTCGAAGGTTTTCGTGTGGTGGCCTTCAGCTGTTCTTGGTGCAGCGCCCCCACAGGTAAGGAAGGGAACATATCTTTCACATATTCGCTGAAAATGAAACAAATGTTGCAGATTTGGTTCGCAGATCGAACCAAATCTCCCACACCATCGGGTTTTTGGCTCTGAGCTCTGATTTGGGCTAATATGCTAAAGCAGTCATTAGCTGAAGCTAAAGCTGAAGCTAAAGGCAGCGTCAGCGCTTACCTCTCCGTTGAAGAAGCAGAAGATGGTTGCCACCAGCAGACCCTGCAATGAGAAAAACTCTCAGTAAGGGAACGTCAGGATTGAGACAGATGCATTCTGGGAGGGAGGGATTCGCTGTTTTCCTGCTGGGAGAAGCGATCAGATAACGGCTCGTCAACATCCAACAGATAATTGACTCCTTCCTTCCTGCTGTTCCTCCCCGGGACACAACGTAAACAAACCTCTTAAAGGGGAAGACGCTTCATTTTCCTCTGAATTACCTTCATAAGGTCAGAATATTAGGAGCAACACAATAGCAGAAAAAAAACTTTTGACTCATTTCAACATCCTGCTGCTGAGCAGAATCTGTTGGCAAATGCTCATATTAAGTCTGATTCTAGACTTAAGTTTTGGATGAAAATCTTCTCACATTATTAATAATTGTTTTATTTTTGAATCATTACGAGTTTTTTCTGATAACATGATTTTTTCTCACAACTTTTTCATATTTTGACTTTTTCTTGTATTATTGAGACTATTTTCAATGTAAATTTTTGCTGTTTTCTCGTTATATTTCAATATTTATTCTCGTATGATTTCTCTCATTTTTATTCTGACTTTTCTCATATTTATTCTCATGACTTTTTGCTGTAATATTGACTTTTTTATTGTTCTAATTAATTTTCTTGCTCAGTTTTGTCCTAATTCTCCTTTGCAGGAATAGACAGGAACAACAATAATTCTCCTATTTTGGAGAGATGACTCTTTTGTTTGAGTTTCATTTGGCCATAAATCAGAGTCCCCCGGTCCGACCCGTCGGGTTTGTGCCGTCTCACCTGGTAGTGCATCAGGATGTGCATGATGTAGTCGTATATTTCGGAGGAGACGCGTCCTTCGGGTTTGTAGGGCAGCAGGACGAACTCGATCCCCAGCAGAGGAACCAGGATGAGCGTGGCTCGGACCGCCTTCATGTACAGGCTGGACTCGGCCTGGTGCGTCACCTTCAGCTTGGTGATCAGAACCCGGACGATGTTCAGCAGGAAGAACAGGTTGACCTGGAGAACCGACCCAGACGCAGGAACAGCAGAAACACGCTGTGAGCAAAACGCAGCTTTCTGCTTCAGGCCGACCTGAACGAGTTCAGTTTCATAAAGTTCACTGTTTCTTTAAAAACTGCTCCATAAAACCTGCTTTTATTGTCTGGATTTGTCTCCAAACCGCATGCAATTAAAAAACATTTTAAAATATTGTGATTTATTTCTTTTACCTGCACAACAATAAATACAGTAATACAACTGTACATGTTTGAAAGGCATCAGTAGAGCCTCCTGCACAACCAACAAGAATACAGTAAAATAAAAGTAAAATTTTACTTTTATTATCGTTTTCCTTTTTTATTATCAGCTTAATCCCAGAAGAGAAACAAAACTTTTCTGTTTTTGGCCAAATATGATGAATGGATTTGACCCAGTTTGTTTTTGTTTGGAGTGAAAACTTGTTTCATGTTTTACTCATTAGGAGATTTAAGAAAAGGAAAACTAAAGTGTTGTACTTAAATCTTCTGTTTAAGAAAATGTCAATCTCTTCCAAAAATATTACAAAAACTGTCAAAAAGAGGGTCAAATGTGGGCCTCACAAAACGACCCCAGGGGCCAGAAATGGCCCCCGCGCCGCACTTTAGACTCCCCGGTTCAGATGGGAATCCCAGATGGAAACGGCAACAACACAGTTCAGATGCTTTTCTCAGAAAAATGAAAAACAAAAGTTCTGAAGGGAAAGAAAAACTGGATCAGGTCCAGCAGCCTGGGGGGAGAGAAATCCATTTCACAAGACAAACACAATCAGCCCCCCGAAACACAGCACAGGCCAGAACCAGAACCAGAACCATTGCGCAACAGAAACCCGGAGCGGATCGGCCGACTTCATCTTACCAGCAGAGCTGCGCATATGGGGCCGTGGATGATGTAGAGCAGCGACGTTTTGGAGCTGATCCAGCAGCTGCAGCAGCAAACAGAGGAGGATCAGGAGACAAGGCCCAACAGAAAACACCCGCAGCGTTTTACTCACTTATCGTTGTAGTAGTAACTCCGAGCGACGGCGTGGATGGACGCAGGAATCAGAGGAAAGCCTGAAAAATGAAACGACGCTTCAGTTGCTGCTTTTCTGCAACCAACGTTTCTTCACTTCAGCAACTTGTTGGTTTTTCACAGTCAGAGGATTTGAGACGCTTTCAGCCACTTACCCCAGCCAAGCAGGTAATACCACATGAGGTGCTGCTTCTCGGCGAACACGGCCACCACGATGAGCGTGTGAAGGTAAATCCCTTCACACAGCATCCAGAAGTAATTACAGCCAAACAGGTAAAGGTGGATAAACTGGGACACTTTGCAGCTCATCTGCAGAAACACAAAGCAAATAACGTCAAAGTGGCTGCAGAACACAGACCAGCAGTTAGCATATTAAACGACATTAGCATGGCTAGCAGAGCTAGCATAGGTACCATGCTTAGAGCTGTTAGCAGTTAGCTTACAGCTCTAAGCAGGATTAATCTGGGAGATTTTGACTGCAGTCTGTGTCGTTCCTTTCAGCCGTTTGCAGCAGTTGAAACCGAAACACCAGATGGATTTGAAGAAACAATGAACTTACTGGATTTCTTTGCACCAGCTCCCGGTTGTTAGCCACTGCAGTTAGCCAAATGATAGTGATGACAGAGTTCAGAACAAAAGAGAAGAAAAGGTTCTTGTGAAGCGTAATCCTCTGGCAACTCAGACTTCTGCAAGAAAAGCCAGAAGTTTTCATCCACTCAGATGAGAACCGATGAATAAAACCTAAACTGGTTTTAGCAGATTGATGTTAGGAACTTACTTGAAATGGAAGAAAATGGCCAGTGAGATGAAGAGAGAGACCAGGGAGAGTCCATGTCCAATGAGCGTCAGGTAGAAATGATTCATTGCAGTCTGGAAAGAAGCAGAAGAGAAATTTGGTCAAAAACTCCCCATGAGGGGCAACTTCATAAATTCAAACACTTCCTTCGTCCCACCAACCAGCCAAGGTGCAATTTGGAGGTGTGCGCACACACTGAGGCTCATATTTACTGATTGTTTTTCAACTTGGTGAAATCTCTTTGTTTTAGCAACAATAATGTTGCTCTGTCTGAATTTGTGACGTTTTCAGCATCGTTTTGTCTCGTACCACGATTCCTTCGTTGGTGTGTTCGTTGCAGCGCGTGTAGTTAGTCCACGTCCGGTTGCTCTCAGGGTGAACAAACCACTGACCGCTGTCGGTGCAAATCTTTGTCACCATTTCTGAAAGATAAAAACATTTTAAAAACTTGTTTTGTCCGTTAACAGAGAAGGATTCCTTCCCACTGTCACCACGATACAGGAAACTGACGGAAATGTTCAGTGTTTGTTGTTTTGCTCACCAGAAGGATCGAAATCCTGGAAGTAGTCGGGGCAGTGCTGCTCCGACGTGACTCCGGCTTGAGTGTCGTCCCAGCACAGCCATCCATCCCAGGTCCGGTTACACATGGGCTCTAAAAACACACAGAAGCTTTAAAGTACAATCCACCAACCACACAGAAAATGATCACCTTTTGCAGCCAAAATGTTAGCAGTAGATACGTTAAGGGGGACCTATTGCACTTTCTCTGACAGGTGAGGATTCATCTATGGCCTACACAAAACATTACAGTTTTTGCACAAAATTAAAATTTTAATCTGGTCATTTCTGACTAATTTGAGCTTTTTTTAGGACCTCTTCTCACTTCATATGTAAATAAGCCGCCGCTGGCCACGCCCCCTCCAACTCAATATTTACAGTGATACAACCGTACATGTTTGAAAGGCATCAGTAGAGCCTCCTGCACAACCAACAAGAATACAGCAAGTGTTTTGTGGATGACCGTCAACAACTAACATTTTTTTCTGGTCTTTTCCAGCAGCCATTATACAGTTGTAAAAAACACATACAGTTGCGAAGTAATGGGAAATCTGAAGGCTACCATGTCGGCCGTTTGTGTTGTCCTTCATAATCTTCTGGTAGCACTCGAACTGCGCCGTGACAATCTTGTTCCTGGTGATCCCAAAGTCGTGGTAGACATTGTTGGGATGCTGCTGCTGGCTTTTATTCACTTCCATGCTGGCCCTCACCAGGAACTGAAAACACAAGGTAACAAGCAAAACAAGTAATCCACACAGTGTCAAAACTGGAGAGTCTGGATCATTTGAGCGGATAAACTCTGTTAGCCACTAGCTACTGATGACTGAGTGCACCTGGGAGCCGCTCTCTGGTCTGTAACACAAACCAATTTTTCAGCACTCAGTGGGTTAAATAACATTTACTTGGAATGTCAAAGTTCAAAAACCCAGTGAAGATCCAACATGGAGAACTGCTGCACAATAGCCTGCATGCTAAAGTTAGCTTGATAGTTACAACAGTATATAAGCACATAGCTAAATGGAGTCAGTCTATATTAGCTAGTTTTCTGAGCATGTTTGAAGTTGTTAGTGTTATTCTATGTTAGTTAGCATGCTAGCATATAAGCTGCTGTTAGCTTAATCGGTAGAATTACCCTTTTAACTATTTTTTGCTTGTACACTGCTGTTGACAAACTGAATGGAGTTATTCTGTTTGTCAACATGCTAGTGATAGCCCACATGCTAGCTAGCGTCCACAAACCAGTGTTAGCTTGATAGATACAATAGCATTTTAACCATTTTGTATACGAAAGCTAAGTTTAACATACATAATTTAGTTGATTTGTGTTAGTTATTTTTGTTTGCATCATACATATGCTAGTTAGTGCTAGTGTATGTTAGCATGGTGCCCCATTCGACCATGATAACAAACTGACATTAGCTTAATTTGGAGAATTGGTCTGTTAGCTAATTTTTGGTTATATACTGATGTTTGCATACCGAATAGTTGTTCTATGTTAGTCAACATGCCAGTGATAAAGTAATATGCTACCATAGCATTTAGCTAATTTTGATATGAATGATGACGTTAACGTAAGCCAAATGAATACAGTTATGTTAGCATGGCAGATATTATCATGTTAGTTGTTTCAGTCTGTTAACTAACATGATGCCCCACAAGCTAATGTTAGCTTCATAGCTAGAATTAGACTTTTAGCCAATTTTTACTTGTTCACTGTTTTTGCCAAATTAATAGAGTACGTTGCTGTACGTCAGCATGCTAGCAATAGCCCTCATGCTAACCTTATGGCAACTTTGGTAAATATGCCACATATGATCCAATTTTTCTGGTCAAACTAGAAAAAACTGAGCCGTCTGAGTTGATTGTTGTCATGGCAAGAATAATCCCCAACAAAACGGAACTGGTTTTGGAGTGGATAAGGCAGGAAAACTTCTAGATCATGTTTTGTGTTGTCTTACTGTTGTTAGGTTGCACAGAAGAATGAGTGCGACCGTCCAGCACCATCTGAAGCCGTCGAATTTCCTCTCCGCCATGTCAGGTAACGATGATTCAACAGCTTCGGGTCTGAAACAGGAAACAGCAAACAATTGAAATCCGCTCACAAAAGCTGCTTCACTGATCTACTGAGACTAAACTGCAGTTTATGTAACTTTAGCCCCGAGAAATTCAAATGTCAAAAAAATAAGCAACATAAATCAATATTTACATGATCACAAACAAACAAAACATGTCCTAATTGAAAGAACAGGCACATTCCTACAGTGTAATCTGAGGAAACTGCTGGATAATGACTGCAGGCATCGTGTGGCTCACGCAAAATAAGAAGCTCCTGCAGCAAATTGGGTCGAGAAATCAAAGGGACACCAGGGAGGAAGAAACAACAACGGGCGCTTCCTGAAAACAGCTCGTATGTTTGGCTGCTTTAAAAAGCCACACATCATCAGCATCCAGTCGCCGAGCCTGAAACGAGGCGGGCGCTGTAAATCAAGCATGTTCACGGGCTTCTACAGGCAGCGCTCTGGAGGGATGGCTGGACCAACTGGAGCCCCAAGGCTGAAACACAGCAGAGCCAGAATCCAAACAGAAACATGAACTTTACAGGCTCATCTGCGTAAATTCAACTAAATACGACCAAAAGCAGGAAAAAGCATCAAGGTAACGTGAAGCTAACGCATAGATTCAGTTGCTACTGAGAGACAAACTACCAGGGACTCATAGTAAATATTCAGACATAAGCTAACAGTTAATTATAGTCAAGCTATAATAATCTTGTCCACTCAGGGACAAGAGTAACTAATCAGAGACAAGCTAACAGATGTTCAGAGTCAAGGGAATCAATTTCCTCCCTCAATCTGAAAAACAAAAAGTTTAACAGCAATGAAAGCAAATCAAATGATAAACATTTGAACAGTTTTAGATCACAGATTATCATCTCTCTCACTCTGCAGACAAAAACCAAAATGGTGGAAAATCTGCATCCTGAGTCTTCAGTCAAAGACGAAAGAGAAATCCTCCAACTGCTGAAATCTGACTCCAGGTTTGTTTGCATTTTGTGAAGTAGGAAGTTTCACTCGGTCTTCTTTGGAGATTTTTGTGTCATTTGCTCCAGTGGTACAGCGCCCCCACAGGCTGGGAGGTGAAGGAGAAAGAAAATCACAGGGTCTAAAAATATCATAAATGTTCCATCAAACTGAGCCTACCAAACTATATGCATGAAACTGAAACTGAATAAAATCTGCAATTAATACAAACTTTTTCTCCAACAATATGGCATAAACATATAAACCTCCTGAAGAGCAGATGACTGCAGATCCTGTTGGGTGCTAGCAGCTGCTAGCTGATAGCAGCTGCTAGCTTCACACGCTGCCCTGATGAACATCTGCTGCTGGGTTTATGAGCGAGGCCTTGTTCACTCCATATCATGTTCAGAGTATAGAGCCTGGACCTGATGGTCGCCAGCTGGTTTTCATTTTCAACGATGCTGCTCTTCTATCTGCTGCTGCATCTCCACATAACAACAGTTTCTACTAAAACCAACAACACAAGCCAGCAAGAGATTCCTGAGCCATTAATCTTGGCAGCAAGCAACCTTCAATTTGCATTGTTTGGTTAACAAATCAAAATTCTCTGGCTGCAGCAGGGCGAGCGTGGAAGAATAAACGCAAAGGCAAGCGGGGGTTATTAGTCCAACAAGGCAGCGCAGATGGATCTGACCTCCAGGTCGCGGCGCGGCGTTGCAAGAGCCTTTCTGAAGCAGGGAGGCTGCAAAGCAGAGCTGTGACCTGCAAATTGGAAACAGCCACTAGAAGGTCAGCTGCTCCGTGGAAATACACAACGAAAACGTTCACAAACACAGCGACGCTCTGCCAAGTTCCCCAGCTGCTTCTTGGCCCATCAACGTCAACATAAGGCAACGCAAACGCTGCGGGTCGGTTCTGCGGGTCGGTTCTGCAGACTGGTCTGTGGATCGGTTCTGCAGACTGGTTCTGCCGTCGATTAATTTCATAAAATCATTATTTTCTCACACAGCTCAGTTTCATTTCCTGTTGGTCAAACCAATCAGGATGAAGCCAGAGTCTCACAGACTTTCTTCACACCTTCACTAGAAAGTCTTTCATTTAGTTAAAATATGCATTTTCTTTTTTTCAACTCCTCTGAAATAAGCTTTGAACATGTTGTTAAAGAGTAAAGCTAAGCAAAGCAACGCTAAGCTAAAAGCTACTAAGAAACTGATTACAACTCCTAGTAAAACTAGCGGCTAATTAAAGTGGCTAGCTACTTGCTAATTAGAAGCTACAAGTTACAAGCATAGCCATTAGCTGCTACTCATAGTGAAGCTAGCAGCTAATCAGAGTCCAGCTAGTGACTAATAACAGCTGGAAAGAGACAAGCTAAATGCTGCACTGCTAAGCTAGGTGCTTGTTGCTCATGAAGCAGGAAGTTGCTCTCAGTGTCTTAAGAGCTTTTTGTGTTGTTTCCTTCACTGGTTCTTGGTCCAGCGCCCCCACAGGCCAGGAGGGGAACAACAGCTGAAAATAGAACAAATGTTGCAATTTTGGTCAGTTGAGTCGAGTCTCCTGGACAGGGAGGTGTGTAAACCCTCTTAAATTAATTTAAGTAGTCGTATGTAAATCACAGGTCTTAAATATTGTCGTTTCAGGACATTAATCTGGAATATCTGGTGTTTTTTGTGGGATTTTTCTATCAGGCAAAAGTTTGTGTCATGTACAAACGTCTTTGTTGGGTTCTGTAACTTGAGGCGGTTGAAGCTACTGTGCAGTAGCTGCTAACATGCTAATTAGCCACATAAATTAGCAGCTACTTCTACATTTCAATTAGTTAGACCCACAGTTTTCTTAAATTTCATTGAGCGTTGCATTAACAATGTCTTAAATTGTCGTAAGTTTGACCTGCTGAAACCTCTGGTGAGTTCAGGGAACAATGTTTGTTGTGTTTGTTACAGAGGGCAAAAAGTTCAATAGTGGAATAAAACATCCCGGTTTTATTCCACTATGTCATACTTTTTATTCCCTCGCCGCAGCTGAAAAATGAAAGTCTGACCTCCACTGAAGAACAACAGCTCCAGCACTGATCGGCGAGAGCCGCGTGGGCTGTGGGTGGCCCGTTTCATCTGGAGAGGTTCATCTGGGTGGTTAGCCGTGTACACGGGAGATGACATCACCCATTACAGCTGCTCGCATGCACAGCATCGTCCAAGGTCTGAACATCTGCCATCTTCTCACCTGCTGCCAGATCCTCATCCTTACCGCAGTATTATGAGCTAGCAGCTGCAGAGCTAGCAGCTGCAGAGCTAGCAGCTGCAGAGCTAGCAGCTATCAACCAATCAGTCAAGCTAAAAGCTAATCAATGAAGCTAATAGAAAGACTAGCAGGTAATGTGAGTGATGCTAATAGCCACTCAGAGATTTGCTCATTTTTATGACTTTATCCTCATTATTTCAACTTCATTCCAGTAACATAATTTGTTTAATCGCATTATTTCGACTTTACTCTTGTAATTTTTAAAAATCTTCAACCTTGCCACCAATTCTCTGTCTAACAGATAAAGTGGAATTTACAATGTTTGTTTAACCAACGGAGGCAGTCAGTTTTTACAGTGCAGCCATCACTCAGCTGGTAAACTACTAACAGCTGACTACAGGCTCTACTGGAGCAGACAGCCTGACTAACTGACCAGTTTCAAGAGAGAGTAGATTCTGCATTTATCAGGCATTTAGTCTGAATTTTTGCCTCAGTTTAGGCATCAAAATCTAAATAAAATCAGCAACAGAAGGAAAAACATTGAAATCGCTTGTAGCTAAAATGTTTCATTTGCTAAACTGAGCTTCAGACGCTGCAGCGACTCCTTTCCACCAAAGTGGAAAAGTGTTTCTGTAGCCTGGAGGAAGGAAGACGTTCCTGAGCTTCCTGCTCTTCTTCTGTAAACACAGATCCACTGGAACCGGTTCTGATCGTGTCGGTCCTCTGAGAGCTCATTTCCCACAAGATCACATTCCTTCAATTTACTGTTATAAACTGCAGAGCAGCATCGCAGAGGACGGAGCCAGTTGAGGGCATGGGAGACGACCGACAGGCCAGCGACCGCGGCTGGGAAACAGAAACTGGAAAAATACGGTCATTCTGCGGGAAAACCAGAAGAACCCGGTTCTTATCGGACCAGCGGAGGCCGGCGACTGGTTCCAGCCTTACAGCCAGAAACAGAAAGAGATCCCAGAACCTGTACAGCGACTCGAGGCCCGGAGAGGATCCGTTTACCGACCCGTTTACCGACCCGACCCGTTTACCGACCCGTTAACTGACCCGACCCGTTAACTGACCCGACTCGTTTACCAGCACAACATTTCTATTGCTCTCAACCTTTCGGCAGAAATTTGCTACTTTTTCTTTTCTTCGTCAATAACCCCCAACACGTCTGAGGTATTTATCATGTTTGCTGTACTAACAGAAAATCATCGAGTTTTCAGTTTCTTTTCCAGTAATCAGAAAAGGATTTTGGTTACTTTCATTAAAACGTTGGTTACATTTAGCCGAGTTTAATAAAAAAATTAATAAAAGTTGATTTTGGAGCAGCAAAGTTGGTTTCAGTGAAACTTTCTCCAGATTTTTCCCCTGATTCTAAATTTAAATTCTCCTTCTGCAGCTACTGGACAAATGTGCATCATCTCTGAATTGTGGCTGGGCGGCCGCACAAATCAGCCCGAGGGCCACAAATGGCCCCTGTGCCGCACTTTGGACAACGCAGCTCCTGATGCTCACTTGGTCCCTGAAGCCGCACAGACAGACAGACGGCTGGAGGAAGAATCAGGAATCAGAGAGCGATATGAATATTGGAAGCTCCTGTCACTGTGAATTTGGTCCGGTGGCCACGTTCCGGGTCAGAACCGCCTCGATCCGCTTTCACTCCAAGCTTAGATTAAAGGCTGATGAGCAGGAAGGAAACACGGTGATCCTGCAGAACTTCATGTTCTGCAATGTGAATTTATCGTTTTCCAGCACCAAACTTTATAATTTCAGGTTTTATGACAAGATGTCTGCAGTTTAAATGTTCGTTCTGATTAAAAACTTGAAATTTTTTAATTTGTTTAAACTTGGAGCAAAAATAAAGGATTTTGCCTAAAAATTAGCTGCACTAACTGAAAAGCACTAATCATAAACGTTAACTACGCTAATGCTAAAGTGCCACACCAGCACATGGAGTGGAAGCTAATGCTATTGTGCTAACTTCACTACCAATTATTTCTTCCATTGTTGGGCAACACTAGCTAAAAAGTTAGCAGCGCTAAACTAAAAAATCATAAACATCGGTTCCCCAACCACTAAACGCCACACAACAACAAGCTACTTAGCATAACGCTACACACCAACAACCTACTTAGCTTAAGCTAATGCTAAAGTGGAACTGCTACATAAACAGACTTCATCTACTTCAAAATAAGACCATGGATATAAACTCGTAACTAGTTCAAGAATTTTCCCAAACATGTATTTAAGGAAAGCTAACTGTACGCTAACTGTGCGCTAATTGTGCGCTAACTGTGCTAAACGTTTCCAAAGTTAGCATAAGCACTATATAAAACGTTTGCGGTGCTAATATGCTAACATCCCGTAGCTGTTAGCATGTTAGCACAGTAGCCGCTCCTCTTTCCGGGCTCAGAGACGCTGGTGAAGGTTTGCCTTTCCTCCTTCTGTCTGTCAGTTGAAACGACAGAGAAAGTCCAGTCGGCTTGTTGAAGCTTCCTGCTGTCTCCTCTCGGCTACTGGCAGTCCCAGTGAAAATACAAAACCACAAGACAACTGGTGGAGGTCAAAGGTGCTCAGAGTTATGACTAGCAGAGGAATATTGTTTCCAGCTGGATGGGTAAATTAGGCTGAACTCTCTGGATTAAAGCAAACAAGATTTCCTGACTCATCCGTCCTGCAGGCTGATTTCAAGTGGACCTCAGAGATTCTGAGCTGCTCCCGGCGTTTCACACAAATACTCTACAGATGAGGGAAAAGATGATCAATTAGCAAGATAACTATTTAGTTATCAAGCTAAACATTTAGTCCCAAACTAAATACTTAGTTAGCAAGCTAAAAGAGCTATAAAACTAGCAAGTAAAATATTTAGCTTTCACATATTTAGCTAAATATTTAGCTACACATATTTAGCTAAATATTTAGCTACAAATATTTAGCTAAAAGCTAGCTAAATATTTAGCTAGCTCTGATCTAGATAATTTTTTCATTTGTAAACAAAACATTTAGCTTCAATCTAAAGGTTTAGTCTGGAGTTAAAGTTTGATTTAAATATCAGATTTAAATCTGGAGCTCAGATATAATCCAGATTATTAAACTGCGATTTGAGGTATTGACTGGAGAACAGGATGGTGGTCCTGAGGTCACAACAGGGTCTTCCCAGAAAGATGACCCTCTGCTCTGCGCAAAGGAAAACATGGCACAAATACTCAGTTAAAAATATCCAAGATAAAAATAAAACCGATTCTGCAGTTGCAGAGCAGATTCAGCAGTTCGAACCGGTGGAGAAAATCCAGATCAGCTCTGAAATATTCCAACATGGCTCCATTTTCACTCCTTCAAAACTCTTTGAGCAGCTGAACCCGGTCAGCGCCGGTCGCCCCGATTCCCTCCGAATAATGAGGCGCCGAAAATAACTGGACAAACCGGCCGACAGGAAGCCCGATATCCGACTGAGAGCCTGAGACACTGCAAAAACTCAATCGTAGAAATTACACCGGCTAATCAAAGCTTTGATGTCGGAGGTCAGAGGGGAGGATCTGTTTCACCGGGTTCAGGGATCTGTCAAAGAAATCCACCAGCATGGAGCAAAAATGGTAAAATTCTCAAACTCTTCAACATTTTCATGAATTTGTTTTTATTGTCAGAAGAATTTTGATTCGTTGTTACGACATTTTTACAGTCCACAAAGCTAAAGCTACAGCTTGGACTGTTGATTTTATCTTAGCCGCTAACAGGGAAGCTAATTTGTCATTTAGCGCTTTAGCTAATTACAAAAACATTACTTCCAGTGGTCGGCACGTTTAACCGATTTTCACTGAAATGTGGAATAAAGTCTAAAACATTCCAGCTCTTAGTCTGTGCAGCGTTTCTCCATGAATAATTTATTCATTCATTCCTTATTAATATTCTGAAGTAGGAATATTTTCTCTCATCTTCTCAAACAGAAAAAGCTTCAGATCTGCTGAGCAGAAACCAGACGAGGTTTAATCTCCAGGCCATCGATTAAATCAACAGGTGAAGATTCGTTTACTGTCAGATCACTGATAAATTATTGATCCCAACAAAGAGAAAGAAATACGAAAAAACGGGAACGACAAGAGAAACTCGCAAAGGAAACTAAATTTTGTTTATATTTTAAGTGGAATCGTTTAATTTCACTATCAGGCCTGAAATCTGGGAGTAGTGATGAACTTTGACCTGAACCTTCAGAACCACATAGAGACGGTTACAAAGTCGGCCTTTTATCACCTGAAGAACATTTCCAGAATTAAAGGAAGATCTGCTTCAGTATGATGGGATTCTTTTTGTCAAAATAATGAACCTCCAACATTCAAAAATTAATTGTTTTGAAAATGTTAGTTTTTTTTCTTTTTTAAAATTTGTTGATTTCTTTCATGTACAGCAGTCGATTTTACTCTCAGATCTGTAACAGATTGGATAATGACTGAGGAAGAATTTGGAAACTTTAGCAAAGTTTTCTCTGCTTAAATGATGTTATTATTATTTAAAAATGAGAATTAAAATCACAGAATTTTTGTCATTTACTGAAAAAAACAAAAATAAAGCTTAAATGTAAAGCCTAAGGTGTGCTACACTGCAAAAACACAAAATTGTAGAGTATTTTTGGTCTAGATTATAGTGCAAATCTCTTAATACATTTGAAATAAGACAATACAAACTTACAAGAAACTTCATCAAGAAGTTGTTTTAAACTATTTAAAATAAAAAGTTTTAATTTCACTGGCAGATTATTTCACTTGTAACATGGAAAAACAAAAACTTTTCCCATCAATATTAAGGAATTACTGACTTAAATCAAGCTGTTTTTACAGTGTCTTAAAGGCAAACACTGTAAAATTTTCTGGATTCATACAGGACTGAATTATTTTAATTCTTCTGTAGATCTGGAATATAATAAATGGAAATTCAGGAGTTTTTCAGAACTCTGGAGCTTAAAAAATAATTAAACCTGGAAAGCTAGCAGCTAGCGTTGCTCCGACTGAGCCTCGATCAAAACTTTCCCACCGGAATCAAATGTTAACGCATGTTTTAAAAGTAATTTGAACATTTTATGAAAAACTGATTATCTGCAGCCATTTTGCAGCTTCATGAGCTTCATAATAATAATAATAATAATAATAATTTCACAGCAGGTCAAGCTAGCTGGCCGTTAGCGAACAACGTCAGACTGAAAACGCTGCAACATAAACATTCAGGCTTCCTGTTAAAAGACGGTAAAAACACTCAGACTGAAGATAAAAACTAAATTATCTTCAAAGTTTTCTGAACCCACAACCAGGACGGCGTCCACCACATCAGAACCAGAACCAGAACCGGGTTGGCGGGAACCAGCCTTCATTCTTTATTATGCATGAGAGGAATAAAACATTTCAAAAGGTTTCACATCCATGAAACTGAATCCAGAGCTGACCACAAGCAGACGACACCATGAGGTCAGAACAGCATGCAGCACAAACACAATATGGAAAATATTTCAGCTTTAAACAAAACCAGAAACTAAAGGCACATTTAGAACTTTGTTTTTCTTTTTAGAAAAATATATAATTTAAAATTGTTACTTCACTCTTTAGCTAAAGAGTTGATTACACTTTCCCATTTACTTTTATTACTTTTATTCACCTTTAAGTGATTATTGTTATTATTATTACTTTAGCATAAATGCTAACGCTAACTTTCTGATTTCAGTCGGTCATTTAGATTCTTTGCAGATGTGTTTTCCTCAGATCAGCTGCTGCAGGCGCCTCAATCTTTGTTCTTACAAACCTTTCTATTCTGCACCTCCTACCTGTCATAGCTAGCATAGCCATGCTAGATAAGATAGCTATGCTAGCTAAGATAGCTTGATAAATTGACTGGCAGCCAATCAGAAATATGAGAATAGAAAGTAACATTCCTATAAATTATTTTAATAATTTTATAATAATTATTGACAATAAATAATAAATATAATACAAAAAATGTAATTATAAATGTCCAATAATTTTTTTCTATTTTTATTCCTGCATTTTTTGGGTAGATTTGGTAAAAGTGTAAATATAATTGATGTACGTTTAAATTGCAGTTATTTGATTTTATTAAACAATGAAGCATCCGTGTTCATGAGGGACAGCAAATAACTTTCACAAAGACCTAAAATGACTTTTAGAATAAAACATTACTATGTGGTTTATGTTTTCCTGCTGTAAAGCACTTTCAACTGCTGAAAATGTGCTGCACAAATCAGCTTCATTTATTGACTGAAAAACCAAAGATTCCCCCTAAAAGTATTTATGAAACATATTTTAATATTCAGACACCAAATATGATCAATAAAAACGTCTTAGCTCAACCGCAGAGGCTAACAGTTTCCTTTATCTCAGCTTCCAGCCAATCGGTGCCAAGGAAAGGAAATGGAGCTTCTTGATTGGCTGCTTTCAAAACAAGTTTTCTTTGCTGCAACCCGTCGGGTTTTCTGCGAATCGTTTGTAGAATCCTGAACTGTTGTTGCTGATTTTTAGCGTGTCGTTTTCCACCTTTCTGAGAATCTGATGTTTCATAAAATAAAAGATCAAAGGATCAAATAAACTGTGTTTCAAAACAAACATGGATCTAACAAATTCAAAACACGTTTTTTACAGTGTAAACAAGGAAGTGCTGTTGAATTTCTGTGGTTGCTATGGTTAGTTGTTTTTTCTGCTCCGTCAGATTCAGTGTGTTTGTTTTTATCACAACCTAAACTGTCCTCAGATTATTTAACCAAAATGAGTAAAATGATCAAATAAACCAAAAGAACTGATGATAAAACGACTCAGCAGCTTGATTATTATTATTATTATTAATAATCAACAGTTTTCACGTCCCGCTGGTTTATTTGCACCAGTTTTATTGAAATCCACTTTTCAAAACAGCAGCGGCGGATTAATCCGGATTATTTCATGAAAGTGAAGCTTCACTGCGAGAACAAACAGTTTCATCACCTGCATCACATCAAAGATGGCAGATATTTAGGAAACATGGCCGCCGCCGTCAGGCCCTCATGGACCAGCTGCTGTGTCAACACTGGATGTAAAACCTCAGCCACGCTCTGGGGTTAAAGGTCACGCACTATAAAAATCCAAGAAGCTCCAGATTATCGCCATGAGAAACTAATAATCTGGATTATTTAGTGTCATATTTTTATATGTCCATTTAGAAACAACTTCAACAGATTTAAATATTTCCTTCTAAACTAATTTATTTAGTTTCCAGACTAAATATTTTTCATGACCAACATTCTCAGCCTGGAGTTAAATATTTAGCTTTTGACTCAATAATTCAGGTCAATTTTTGCTAAATTTCTGCTTGGATTTTAAAATTCAGCTCAAAAATATTTATAAATTAAAACATTTAACTCCAGACTAAACGTTCAGCTTTTTAAGCACCATTTTAGTTCGGATCATTTCTGTTGGGTTTTCACTCCTCATCTTTGACCTGAATCCGGACCAGAACCGGACCGCAGGTCCAGTTCAACCAGAACCTCCACCACAGCATCATCATCATCTTCATCATCATCTGCTGCTCTTCATCACCCGCCAGCAGGTTCGGTTCTGGCCGGTTATGTAACTAACCGGACCGAGCGGGAGGTTCTGGACGGGTTCGGTGGTTCCGCTGACTCAGCACCAGCAGACAATCAATGGAAGGTTTTAGAAAATCCGCGGATCTCCCCCTGACTCCAGAACCAGAACCAGGACGGATCCACGTCCGTCCCGAACCTTTTCCTGTTCGCATCAGCAGAACTGGAGGTCCAAACGGGCTGGTACCGCCGCCAGCTGGGGATCAAACCCCAACACGCTCCAGCTTCCTTACCGGACACGGAGATCCAGCCGCGGGTTCGGATCCGATCACGCTCCTCCAGTCCGGTCCGGTTCGGTTCGGCTCGGCTCGGGTCTGCGGTGGCTCTGCGCGCAGCTCCGGCGGCTTGAGCTTGACGTTGGAAGTCAGCCCACTGCTTCCTGTTACATCACCGTGGAGTGGAGTGGAGAGCCCACAGCTGAGTGGACCCCCCCTCCCTCCTCCCACGCTGCGCAGCGCGGAGGGGGCGGGGCGGTTCTGACCCGCAATAACTGCGGTTCCTCTAATAAACTGCGCAAATCTGTTCCCATTAAATCATAAACTGGGTCAAAACCAAACAATAAGTCATAAAGTGGAAATGCAGTGGAAATGCGCAACGTGGAAAAACGTGGAAATGCGCAAATTGAAATGACGCAAATAAATGATCGAAAGGTGACAATTTAAAAAAAAAACTCAGGTTGTTTATCAGAAGGGGAGGAGTTTCCCCGCCATTTAAAAATGGATGCCTTTCTTTCTGTCACGTGATCAACACCCGGATGTTACTCCAGGCGGAAACCACGAACAAGTGGACCGGAAGTACTCTTCTTCTTCGTGGTTAGCAGTTTTCTTTGCTGATTCACAGCAGATCCATCCTTTGCTACAAACAATCAAGTAAAATGTTTATTTTCTTATTTATAAAATGAATTTAATTATTTAGTTTCTAAAACTGAACATCTGGAGGTTCGATGCAACATCTGCAGAACGGAACAGATTTTGACCCGATTAATCATCAAAATAATCAATGACTAAAATAATCATTAGTTGCAGGCCTAATATCTAATACATACGTGTATATATTGATCAGTTGTTCTGCAGGTTTTCTATGTATTTAATGGATTTTTCATTTATTGTAAACCAGATTTATTTCCTCTCTTTAATAATATTTCATAATCAATCCATAAAAACCGCAGGAAAAAAGAGAAATTATTTAGTAAAGACTGGAGATAAATATGAAAAAATACATTAAATATGGAAAAAGACCTTAAAGTAAATCTTATTATTGCAAATCCAGTTTCTAAAGTATTTTTCGCTGCAGATGGTTGAAAAAGCAGCATCCAGATGTTTCCTGCATTCGATGGAAATGATCGGAACAGATGTTGATTTTTACTCCATAAAGTGATTCATAAAAACTTTTATTAATTGTTTCATGTCTCATTATTGGACACAAAGAGGGAAATCATCCTGCAGAAGCTGAGAAACAAAATGTTTTATGAGGAAGAAGAGAAATTAATTTTTATTTCGTTGAATATTTTCCAGGTTCTGAAGGCAACATTTAATGCACGGGCGCCCCCTGGTGTTCAGTTTGCTGCGGTGACGGATAATAATGACTAAAAACACATTTTCTGGGGTTCGTTTAATCAATGAATGAATCCATTTACAATGATCAATAACTGCAGATAAACAGCTGATATTCAGAGACCGAAATATGAAGCAAAGGAAAATATTTCAACAAATAAAAGAACAAAATCTGCAGCTTTAAAGCTTTGCACCAACAAAACAAACCACAAAAACTCAAACAAACTGAATAATTCATGCAAAATGAACTGGAATATTTTCCTATGCAGACTTAATATTCTTCAGCATAAATGTGCAAAAACATGTTTTCTTAGGATTTTTACAGATTATTACAACTTTGTGGTGAATCGTTTCAGCTTTTTCTCGAAAATACAGCAAAATATTTTTTCACAGCTGAAATGTTTTCATAATTTAGAACTCAGATACCCATAAATAAAACTTCAACAGTTTTAAATCTCTTTATGTTATTGCATGTTTTTAAAAGAAACTTTAATATTATTGCAGATAAGAGTCAGATCTTTGCATGAGTTTAAATATTCCCATCAGCCATTACATTACAGGATGTCATTACTGTTTCCACTGTAATGACATCCTGGGTCTTTATTCAAAACTTATTTTACTTTACAACTTTAGACTTTAGAGCTGAAACTGAAAACTCTAGAAATAAAAAAAGAAGCGTTGGAGTAAAATGAAGAATCTCTGCTGATGAAAACAGAAACATGAAACCAGAGGAAGTTCAATGTTCAAAATAATCTCAGAGTTTCTTTAAGTTTCTATTTTGCTCCTGTGCTAAAGTTTTAAACCGCCTCTTGTTTCCTGCTCTGATCTCTGAGGAACGACTCAAGACTTTTGCACAGAATTGTCCATCATGAAAAAACAGTTCACTATTAAAAAAAGAGATTTTCTGAAGAAAAAAGGCTGGAAGCTATAATACAGAGATAAATACATGTGAGGAGGAGGAGCGGCGTCCCGCAGGGCGCGGCGTTCAGTCCCCGCGGTTCACGATGCTGTCGATGTTTTTCTTCCTGATCCGGATCATCCCCCTCCTGTCGCCTGAAACAGAACCGTGAGGATGAGGAGCGGCTGCGGCACCGTGCTTCGTCTCTGTGTGTCTGGAGTCTTTACCCTTCTGGCCTCTGATGCATTTGTGGTAGCAATGTTTGCGGAGCAGGAAGTTGTTCTGGTTCCCGCCGCAGCCGCTGTAGGAGAACGACTGGCAGCGCCTGGTTTCTGGGTTGAAGGCGAAGCGCCTGGAGGCGCCGCTGCAGCTGCCGCGGTCGATGGGGCTGAAGCAGATCTCTGAGGCGCTGAAGTCTGGCAGACAGGCAGACAGTCAGAGAAACAGCGCCTCCACTGGCAGCAGCAGGACGGTGCAGCCGCGTGTCACATCATAAAATTAGCTTTAAACTAAAACCTTTTTAGCTTAGTAAATAAATATCTAGTTTGGATCTAAATATTTAGTTTAAAGCAAAGATTTTAGTTTGCAGCTAAACATCTATCTGTGTTTTGATGGAAATCCTCCCAAGATGGCCGCTGCCTCAACTTGTTTCTTTAGGCTGAACTGAGAATAAATTTTTTGAGACTTTTTCTATATTCTTTAAGCTTTTTTGTGCTGTACTGTCTTTATTGACAGAACAGACTTCCTGATCTGATGTCGGCTGATTGGACGCCATCAGGATGTTTTTATCTACATGTCAGTGACTTTTAAACGCATGGCAGCCATTTTGGAATTTGAGGTCAACTTGGTGAGAAAACTAACTCCTGACCTCAGAGCAGAGTCTCAAAGTCAAACGACTGAAATATCCAGGGAGCATAAAGATATACATACATTGAGAATATATGGGCCTCTCTAGAGTCACTTTGTTTTAATAATAAATCTCACAAGCTGCTCTTATTGGACAATCATATGTAGAAGTTCAGAGGATTTATTTTGGTATCTTTAACTCTCATCTCAGGCAGTTTCTACCTGCAGCTCAAGTTCTGGCTGTTCATCTTTCCTCCTGCAGCGTCTCTTTGTTCCCTGGCTGGTTGGTCTTCCTTCCACTCAACTATAAATCTCAGTTCCTGTTGTCTGCGCTGACAGCTCTGTAGTGGTCAAATAAATCTGCTCTGCTCTTTGGGATGAAGAGTTTTTTTATTTTATCACCACTGCATTGACTGTATTTCTGCACAGGATTATCTATGGCCAGCAGAAAACAGCTGCCTGTTCTCTGCTGCTGAGTTTTAAGATTTTAATTCCTTCAATGCTCTGTTTCTTTCTATCTATCTATCTATCTATCTATCTATCTATCTATCTATCTATCTATCTATCTATCTATCTATCTATCTATCTATCTATCTATCTATCTATCTATCTATCTATCTATCTATCTATCTATCTATCTATCTATCTATCTATCTATCTATCTATCTATCTATCTATCTATCTATCTATCTATCTATCTATCTATCTATCTATCTATCTATCTATCTAAAACTGTTCCTCCAAGTAGCCACAAGGTGTCACTGTGGCGCCTCGTCCTGTTTATGTTTCAAACTTTGTGGTGTGAAATTTAAAGCTTGCAGACCTGAAATCCTATTTCACAATGATTTTGTTGTTGAGTAAAATATTGGCTATAAACCAGAAAACTGGCCCTCTGGCCAGAATCGGGTTTGTTGCCGAGTTTCATCATCAGAGCCTGAAGACATTTTGTGTTTGTGTTTAACTTCTTCATTGCGCCAATCATCACTGTGGATTATCACCATCATGCTGACTGACACTGACTTACTACACATGAAAACATTTTAGCTATATTTAGCTAAAATGCTAAGGCTAAAACTCTTACTTCGCTGTTGAATTTGATTAAAAGTATTTTAAATATGGTTTAGTTTAGATCCCGTTTGCAGCTTTTCATTGATTCTCTTTTATTATTTGCATTCAGGGTTCATTGTGTTTTCCAGTGGATCTCTGTAAACTGCCTGGCAGATGAACCAGGAGCAGAAACCGGATCCACCTCGATCTTTTCCTCTCTGCTTTTCTCTGACTGTTGACTTTTCTGAGCAGAAACTCTCTGTCTGAGTTAAAGGAGTCGGTTTCCTCTGCAGCCGCGACACCAAGCAGCCAGGAAATGTGAAACATGATCCCTCATAACACTGATGCACTCTGGCTCCGACCTTTGACCCCCAGGACAACCAGCTGAATGTTCTGGTTTAATGGCCGCCAGCTGTTGTCCTCCTGTGTGTGTTTGGTCGGGTTCTGGGTTCGGTTCTGCATGTGGGTCAACATGTCAGCCAGAAACATCGATAGTTGCACCAACATTTGTTTCAGGAAAATGGAGCCAATCAGGGAACGTCCTGAAACTTTGGCTGCAGGTTTTCCAGATGTTAACGTCATAAACGCTCCAGTTGTTTCCACCCATTTAAAATCTGGTTTACATCTCGGTTCTGCTGAAACGATTTGGTCCGACTAACAGGAACCTGGAGCTGCTGACATTCTGTCTTTGTCATCATTTCCTCCAACAGAGAGTTTCCATTTCATCATCCAGGTTTTTCATTCACTGAAGTCCAACAGGCCTGCTAGCATAATGCTAACAGTAACATGTTACTGTTAGCATTATGCTGCTGCAAGCATAATGCTAACAATATTGCTAACATAATGGTAATATTATTGCTGCCATTATTCCAAAGATATTCTATATTAGGGTTGCCATCATGCTAATGTTGCTGTTAGCGTTCATGCTAATGTTGAGGTTAGCTTCATGCTAACATGCTAACATTAGCGTTAACTTTCTTCACTTTGGTCAGCTGTTGCTGATAAGAATCTCAGCTGCAGCTGAAGTCCAGGAGCTTCAGAATTTGAAAATTTCATATTCAAATTTATATTTAAAAAATTCTAAATGAAATAATTTCACTTCTGGCAAAAAGGAATTTCTGAGAAAAACATTCAGTGCTTTTGTTTTGAAGGGTTTCAGTAATGTGATTTAGTTTGACGTTCAGCTGGCGACAGACACAAAATGTCCCGGGTTGATGAATCAAACGCACCATAACAGGAAATCATGAATATTAATTATTGACTTCAAAAAGCAAAAGTTATCTGCAGGTTTCAGAGTTTAAACCCAGCAGCAGAATTGGACTTTAGCATTAGCTACTTGTTCCCATCCCAACCTTTAACATGAAGAGTTTTAACACATTAATATTATGATTCAGTTGAAATAAGGAAACAGTTTTTACCTGTTTGTGAGTCGGAGGCGTTGAGCTGCACCTGCGGTTCGCTCACAGTCAGCTCCTCTGCAAAACAAACAGTCATTAAAGCTTCTTCTTCTCTCCACTGAAACATTTGTAACGCGACAGGAAGACAACCTGTTTTCGCCTCCATGTTCAGCAGACGGCTTTTATTTCTTTACCGAAACAACAAAACACTGGAAAATGTATTTTCCCCAAAGTTAAAAGTGTAAATTAGCTCCTAAAACCTGCAGTGTTGGAAATATATTTATGGAAACTTCAGATTTAAACTCAGGGACGTTTTAACGCCTCACTAAAATGCAAATGATTATTTGCCTCCTTAAAATGCAGGTCTGGGCTGATCGCTGTAAACGTTTCCTCAGGAGGCCGGCGTTAAAAACTTGGACATGAAGGAGATTTATGGGAACAGGAGGAGAATTTCAGGTCTGGAGAAAACGTTTAAATCGCCTCTGAAATATCATCTGCTGACAGCAGGAACACAGAGATACAGAGTTACATCATAAAACGCTGAGATTTCATTTCACCTCCATGGATTTAATAATTCGTCCTTTTTAAAGTTCAGAGGAGGCGTTTACCTGTCCACAAAGCTTTGCTACACAAATTACAATTCAGTCTGTTTGTTTTTCACTTGGAGGGTCAGAAATAAATAAAACAACAGATGGTGAGACAATAACTAAAAGGGTTTGAAAGATTTGGAAGCTCAGAAGCACGACATCATCACCAAACTTCCCCTAATTTACAGATATGCTCATTTTAAATTATGTCATATATATGTTCTCTTTCTAAATGAGGAATTAGCATTTCTTGCTAACTTTGAAACTATTTAGCACATATTTTTTCCTTCCACTCAACTTCCTGTGGATTTGCTACATTCTTATACTCTTAATAATATGAGTTAATAATTTAGCTTTTCTGCTGACTTTGACATCTTTAGCACACATTTTGTCCTTCCACTTAACTTTCTATGAACATGGAACAACTTTTGTCCAATATTCTAATTATTTTAGGAACAAATTGTTTGGAATATTTCACTCTGTGTCATGAATTTATATGCTGCATAATTCTAACATGAGTCAGTTTGCATTTTTATTCATTTTTACTATTTTTACTAATTTGTAAAAAACAAGTCAGTCAGATATAATTTATCTGTAAGTAGAATATGATGTTATAAAAACCTGCAGCGACGTTGGGAGCAGCCATGACGGTTTTCCTCACATGGACGTCTGTCGCAGCCGTCGGTTCGTCTGCAAAACCAAAACAAGAAGCGAAAAGCAAAGGAAACAATTTTTATCATTAACGCTTTTCATGTTTGAGACTGATTGGTTTTTCTACGCATCGCGGAGTGAAATAGTCGCTTCTTCTCTCATTTCCAGACAATCTCAGCTTCCAAACTCCTTGTGCCTGTGAGTTGAGTGTCCTGGAGTCGGTCAGTTAAAACCGTTTAAATCAAAGTGATTTCATGCTCAGCTGAAAATTCATCACCAACTTAATTATCTGAGGTTGAGCTGTTTTGATTACGCCGCTGCTCTGAAAGGCTGTCGATGCTTCGAGGTAAAGGACAGAAACAATTACATTCTGCAGCTGCGGATCACGAACCGATGCTTTGACTAGGACATAGTGATGCTGACCTGGGCTGAGGCATCTCTGCTGGCAGTCGGCCATGCTCCTGAAGTTGTTGGCGTTGCCGAAGCAGCCGCCGTAGTAGAAATGTCTGCACTGCTGAGTCTGGCTGTCGAAGAAGAAGCGCTTCACCAAACCGCGGCAGGGGCCCGGGGCCTCCGGCAGGTGGCACGGGTTCTTATCGTCTGACGGAAACACAACAGAGACGTCGCTAACAGCAGCAGGAAGCAAAACTGACTTTAGCTCCAACATGGTGACGCAGCAGATCTCTGAGGTTCAGCTCAGCCAATCAGAAACTTACAAAACCATTATTAAAACCCCAGCAAATCTAGAGCAGCTAACAGCTCCTGTTATTTAATGCCGAGTTTAGCATTAGCATTAGCTTTGCTAAATACTATGTTAGCACATCACTTTTGTGTCAGCAGAGCTAATGGCTACGATCAGTTCTTTAGGATTAGTGCAGCTAATGTTTAAGTTAGTGGTTCCCACCACTTAAAATGGTTGAGTTTAGCACTTTAGCATTAGCTTCTGCTAACTGCCATGCTGGAATAGCTCTTTAGAGACAATAGAGCAAATATGACTAATCCTTTAGCGTTAGCACAGTTAATGTTTGAGCTAATTGTGCCTTTTCCTCAAAATGGTTGAACCTAGCACTTTAGCTTTAGCTTTTGCTAAATATCATGGTGATGCAGTGCTTTAGCGTTAGCAGAGCTAATGTTTATGATTAGTTTTTTCGGGTTAAGGAAGCCGTGTCTTCTACTCCAAGTCGTTTTACGTAGCATCTAGCATTAGATTTCACTACATACTATGTCGGTACAGAGCTTACGTTTTGGTTAATGGTACCCACGACTAAAACTGGTTGAATGTAGCCCTTTAGCATTAGCTTCTGCTAACTGCCAGGCTGGAATAGTGTTTAGTGTTTATATAACGAGTTCTTTTGTTTAACTCGTTGAAAACAGAACAGCTAATGTTTTAGTTAGCGGTTCCCTCTACTCACAATGTTTGAAGTTAGCATTTTAGCATTAGCTAAATGTTGGTTTAGCAATAGCAGAGGTAATGTGTGTCATGAGTGTTTTTAGTAATGTTTTGATAAAGTGTTTACAGAAAGAAACTTTTCAGAGGTGTTGATGAATTTTATGTAAATGTTTGGTTGGACCCCAGCAGGTCTCGTTGTTTCAGGCTCTCCTCTGGACCGCAGAGACATATTCATCAATCAAGAAGAAGAATTCACCTTCTGCCAAACACATCTGCACACCTTCTGTCTGCTGATCTGTTGAACCGCCATTAAATCGCTGCGGCTGTAAAATCAAAATGCATTTCATGAGGTGACTTTGGCTCAAAGCTCCGGGCAAACAGATGTGTGAGAAGACTGCGGCTTTGTGCTGTTCCTCCAGAGCAACGCGCTGATGAATAATTCACAACATGTTATTATCTGTTTAAGCTGTGGAGGAATTATCTGTCAGCTTGGCGCTAACGCTGCGCTGAGACGACAGCAGGCAGCGGCTCGCTGGAGAAAACCTGACAGCCAATCAGCGCAGAGGAATCCAGATTACAGAAAACAATCCATTTCATCTGAATGCTGCGATTGTTTTGATCTGCAGCAAAACGAGGACGGCTGAAGCTCTTCACCTGCTGCTTCGCGTCATTTACTCCTTACAAAGGATTTTATTTACATCTGACAATAAATGACGTTATGGTGTGAGGCGAACAGCAGCCGCTAGGGGGCGACATGTCTACAATAATAAACCATTTCTCTCATTTTCTTGATTTTTTTCCATAAATTTCTCCTGAAAGCCAAATATTCTGAACTTTTTCTCAGTAGATAAATAAACTTCAAATACAGAAAAATATATAGAGATTTTGCCATAAAAATTACATTAAAAGTGAGAATATTTCTCTTATTTTTAGATAAAAATGTTCACTCCATTCTCTGCACTTCTGAGGTGAAAATCTGTTTTTTTTCTTGTTTTATCAAGTCGAAGGTTTGGTGAGTTTCATGTGGCTGCCTAGCCAAAACTTCGGTTACTTTTCCCTGTTTTTCTTTGTCTTTCCGACTTTTCAGAAGTTAAATCTGTAACTTTTGGACTGGATGGAAACGTGGAAACTGTTCATGTCCAGATTTGCAGCCTCTTTCTTCTTCTGCTGCTGAAATACGGCGCATCAACGTCGTAATAAAATGCGACACTTTGACACAGATCCGACTGAGTTGATGAAAAGGTGGGAATCGTTCACACTTTGGGTCAGAAATTCTATTTTATTTACATTTTCTCTTTGTAAAATGGATCCTGGTTTGTTTAAATGGTTTGGTTTAATCACTCGAATCTTTCAGAATTTCTAAAGTTCAAATTAAAAACTATTTTAAAGTTTTTTTGGGAACTGGATAAAAATGTGCTCAAGGTGGTTTGAAGGTGCAGAAGTTATTTTGTTTCCTCTGTTGTTCCGTTTCTGGCAGTTTAGTCTGAACTTTTGCAGCTCTGACTTTCTGTGCTGCAGTTTTATAACTATGTATGTTAATAATTTAGAGCTCAAAGTGAAGCTGACATGCAGAAACACTTTGGTTGTCATTGTGTCAGAGCTGAACTTTGCTGAACTGATTTTACCAACTGAGTGCAGAAAATCCAGCAAACGTCTGGATCCATTTGGATTAATTCACTCATAAATACGACTAAAGATTCTCTCATTTCTTTACACTTTCCTCTCAGTTCTCTGCTCTTTCTGCAAAGGGAAACCTTTAAACTGCTGTGAGTCACCGTTTCCTTTTGGACCCCATGCTGACCAGCTAGCATAAAATGAAAACAGGTGGATCTGACATATCAAGAGTAAACACCCTGAAAGGTGATTACAGGTAGACGAGTACAGAAACAAAACTCAACAAAACAATGAAGATGAACCCAAGTTGTTGAGAAGCCTGGAGCAGATTGACGTTTTCCCAGTGATTTCCGTGTTTACGCCTGGAGAAAGTGTTGAAATGGATCTTTTGTTGCGGCCGTGCTGTACCCATGAAGCCGAGTCACGCCATGCAGGCCAGAGACACTCTGGGAACATCAGCTGCGTGCTCCAACTTGTGGCTTTCAGCACGACTGGGAGGAGAACAAAACTTTCCACCTGGGACTCAGAAAGCAGAACCGAACCAAACCGCTGCTGCTTCGTGTTTTTACTGATGAAGCAACAAGTCGTTTCATACGAAAGAGGCTGAAAACAGCTGAGGTGCTAACAGTTGCCCCGTTTGGTGGTGGCAGCATCATACTGTGTTGTTAAAGTGTTTGTTCTCATAAGGAAGGGATTTACTTCCGTTTAATTTGTCTTAACATTAAATTGATTAATGCACTAATAATAATAATAATATCATTTGACATGTTAGCATTTCCAACTTTTAACGTTTTTAGCGCCGTTAGCATCCTCTAGCTAGACCACTAAACTCTTTGGCTGTTTTGTAAACTTTCAGTTGAATAAACTTTGACTCTTCAAGTTGTGAGAAGTTTATATTCTCTTATTTTGAAGGGGTGAAGTTCTGTTTCCTGTCCTGCAGTAAGTGATGTTCATCCTGTATTAGCTCCAGTACCCAGAATGCATCACTGCAGTTTAAAACCTACTGAAGTTCTGCTAAATGAGCTGCAAAGTTAGAAAATTAATAACAAACTTTAGGGGTGTTATAACACACACTGGCTGAAATCTCAGCTTTAGCATTAGCTCTAGCTGATTGTTATGTTGCTATAGCATGTTAGCAGAACTAATATTTGTGATTATTAGTTTTTCAGGACTAGTGCAACTAACCTGGTCGTTAGTGATGTCCACTACTCAAAATGGTTCTATTTAGTCCTTTAGCTTTAGCTGCTGCTATTTAACATGTTGATGTAGCATTCATTGAGCTAATGTTTATGATTTGTTTTTAAGTTTAGCTTTTAAGTTAGTGGTAGCTACTTCTGTAAATAGTTAAATTTAATACTTAAGCATTAGCTTCTGTTGAAAACCATGTTGATTTAGCACTTTAGCTTTAGTAAAGCTAATGTGTATGGCTTCTACTTTAAGGTTAGCACAGCCAACATTTTAGTTAGCAATGTCCAATAACTCAAATTGGGTGAATTTAGCAAACTAGCTTCAGCAGAGCTAATGTTTGTTATTACTGTTTCAGGGTTAGTGCTGCTAACGTTTTGGTCAGCAATGCCACAAATGTTTATCAGGTTTCTTTCTGTTAAACATGAGCAGGACGCAGCGTTCAAGCACCGTCGTAAATTATGATTAAATCATCTTTTATTTATCTCTGTGTCAAGTGTCAGTGAACTGCTTTCAGCAAAACGGTTGAGAAATCCGAGCTGCAGTTCGCTGCACGTTATAAAATAACCTTTTCTGCTCCAGGCGAGAGACGATACATCATAAAAACATCACATTTCTGATGATGGGCGCGGTCCAATCGGACCGAAACGCAGGAGGTCGGAGGTGAAAACAAAACAGTAAAACTCAACAACAGCAAAAAGGGAAATGAGCTAATTACAGGTAAGTGGATGCAGCTGGGGAAAGGAGCTTGCGATAAAACAAACGTCGTTTAAACTTGAGACGTTTTTATCATTTTGTCCCACCTGAGAAGACGCACGCCTCCTCGCATTCCTCCATCGTCTCAAAGTTGTTGGCGTTTCCGCTGCAGCCGCCGTATTCGAAGCGCTCGCAGCTCCCAGAGTTAACGTTGAAGAAGAAGCGCTCCTTGATGGCCTTGCAGGGCCCCGACTCGTCCTTCATGGCGCAGAACTCGTTAAAGATGATGGGGCTGTGATGGCCGCCATGACCTGCCCAATAGGAAGAAGCAACAAAAAGGTTTACCTTTAGCGGTTAGCATTAGCTTTTAACTTTGGTTTAGGCTAGCAGAGGATAAACTGACCACCATTTTGGGTTATTTGCTGTAATTTCAACTGTTTCTGTTTTTCTCTGGTGCTTAGCGCTGTCAATCAACTTTGTGCGTGAGAACCTGAGGCTGTGAGACGAGGAGAAGCTGAACAGAAACAACTCCTGCTTTCTGTTCTCCTGCAGAGCTGCAGTGACCTTTGCCTGCAGCAGTTTATTTACTTTGTTTAGACCAGAGCTGGAAGAAAACCCTTGTGGCCTGCAGAGACACGTTGAGCTGCAGTGAATCGGTTTCTCTCCACAGGCTGATAATCAGGCTGATATGAAACCCGGTTTGATCTCTGGGTTCTGGATCCGATCCGATCAGTTGGCCGTTATCCACGCTGCTCATCGCCACCGTTTAAAAACACGCCTCTGTTTCCCAACATGTTTATCAGAGGCATGAAGTTAAAACACGCAGAATGGAAACGTTTGGAAGAGAAACTTGAAAATAATCTGTCAGAATCTGTTGCATCAGGTTATTTGAAAAGTTATGGATTTAACGGGGCTTGTGCGTCATGAGAGCAAAAATCTTGTTGATTTTATCATCTTAGTCATTTCGAAAAGTCTCAGTTTGAGGCAAAATATTAACTTAGCCACTTTATCAAAGTGTTAGGGTTAGGTTAGGGTTAGGGCAACCGCTTGAGCAGCCTGTTCCCCTCCTGGCCTGTGGGGGCGCTGCACCAAGAACCATCGAAGGAAATGACACAAAACCTCAGAAGACATTGAGAGCAACTTCTTGCTTCAGATGAAAACAAGATGGCGCTGTCAGATTTTAGCAGAGGAGGATTTCTCTTCTTAACTTATTCACAGTAAAAGCTACAGTTAGCTTTTTGCAGTCGTGTATCGGACCTGAGCATGAACATCTGGGAACGCCTCCGTCGGTCCGAGGTCACGAAGAGGCCCGACCCAGTAACAGAAACGGAGCCAACATGTCTGCCAGGAGCGGCGGCTCCATCACTTTGAATCCTCTAAATGAAAAAACGATCATAATAATTGGCTTAAGTCAGCAGGGCCAATTTTCTGATTAAAATCATTTCACAGCATTTTATGACAGAAACACATGATTGAGTGGACGCTGTGCAGGTAGACTGGGTTGTGTAACGGTTTATAAACGATCCACGGCTTAATTGCTGCTGGTCGCCTCACATGTTGGTTGGTTTTGCTGCATTTATGCCTTGATGGGGCGTCGGAGCCGAACCCTCGGCGAACAAAGAGCTGCAGCTGAGTCAGAGCCGAGCCCAGCGTTTTACTGCTGAACTCCCTCAGGGCGTAACCCGACACGGGGTCAAAAGGTCAAACCATGATGTTTTCTTCTGCAGGGGAGGGAAATTCAAAGGAGTAGAAATGAAACTTTCTGCCAGAGGAGCATGAAGTCATCGAGTGACCTTCACTTCAAAAACAGGAAGAAACAAAAACTCTGGAGGTTTTCTGCAACCGATGTTTGTTTTTATCAAAACTCAATTAAATACTGAGAGCTAAAATGTAGCTTTGTAAGTAAATATTTGGTTTAAGTTAAACATTTAGCATTGTAGTTTAAAGTTAAATATTTAGCTTCTAATGAAAGCAAGCTAAATATTTTGTTTTCAAATTATAATTTAGCTGATCCATAAATATTTAGTCATCCAACTAACTAATTAGCTCTAAACTAATAAATTAATTGGCTGATGATAGTAAATATTTAGCATAGTGCTTTAACACTAGCTATATTTTTACTAGGATTCTTTCGGCCATCTTGAACTGAGCTGAAGCCTGCAGCCGTCCACCAGTCACACGCTTTCTGGAGAAACGGATGATGACCCAGATTTGGTTTTAAATTCTCCCAGTAACGTAACATAATTATTCAGCCCTCCATCCGCAGGGGTCAAAATATTCCTCTGACCCCTTTAACTGGACAGACGTCGCCTGATTCTCTGCCCAGAAGCAGAAATGGAAAACAGGGATGTGGACATAAGTTCGCCTGCAGCTCCGCGTGACGTCATGGGGAGAAAGTAGAGCGACTCCATCTGCCAAAACTAGGAAGTCTTCCATACGAATAAACACAAAAAGAGTCTGAAAACTTTGATTAAACCAAAGAAAACCATGCAATGAAAGGAAAACACCAACGTTTAGGAGTATAACTGTTCATGTGGAGACAGAAACTCTGCACTTGAAAGTAAATTCAAACATAAAAAGATTTCTGAACATTTCACAAAATCAGAATCTGGACAAAAATAACGCCAGTCCAGCTGCTGAAATGAACTCCAACTGTACGGAGGCCCAGAAGGGACAAAATTAAATCAATAAATACATATCTAAATAATTAATGAAAAGAAATCATCAAAGTATTTGATGATACAGCAGTTCAGCTTTCTGAGGGGCCCTGACGGGTCGGCAACGGTTTACTCCACACAGCTGCACCGTTTCGCCTTCCACTAAACTTTCCAAGGCCAAACCTTCAGAGGGAGAACAGGAAGCAGCTGCTGCTCAGTTTAGTGTCTGCTGTGGATCGATAGGTCAAAGGTCATCCTGCTCTCTGCTGCTGCAGCCTGAGCAGGAGATCGTTGAGGAAAACGTTTCCTCCGCTGGGAGAGTCGGCCGTTAATCCGTCTGAGCGACAGAGATTTAAAACCGCTAACAGATTATCGCTAGGCTAACGTCTGAATTTGACTTTAAAAGGATCTAATTTGTCAAATTAATTTACACAGAAACACAGAAACCCCATCAAATGTCAACTAAATAATTAGTTTGACTTTAATTATGTTTTTAATGGGATTTTTTATGCATTTCGTGCAGAACTGAACTTTTTCTGTAGTTCTGTTCAGTTTTTCTCTAATCCCTCCGACTTTAGTGTCGAGTTCAGTTTATTTTCTGTTTGGTTCTTAAGGAACGAAACAGAAAGTTGTTCTGATTAAACAGGAGGACCTGAAACATGCAGCGCGTTTTAGCACAGCATCTGATCGCCGCTGTTCTCTGTAATCTGTCAGACTCAGAACTTCCTGTCTTCTCCTTCTCAACTTCCTGCAGCGACTCGGAATTCTTCAGCAGAGCCTCTGCAGACGTGAAGTCAGGCGTTGAGCTGGAGGATTAGCCAATTTAGCAAGAAGCTAACGTTAGCGTAAATGCTACAATTGGTGTGTTGGATTACGCTAACATGCTGAGTAACATTTATTAAGAAATACTAAATATTTATACAAAATTAAAATGTTTACTGGTCAAAATGTATTTGTGGGTAACAAAGGGCCCCATCAGCGATGGCTAACAGTTCGAGCTAACCCTGTCATTATGTCCAGATAACTGGGAACTGTACGGGTTCATCCACAATGGACACTTTTCAGCCCAAATTCAAACATCTGCAGAACCCATAAGATGCAACAGAGGTCATAGTTCACACTAATTAACCCCATCTGGTGAGGCTAACGCTAACTTAACCCCAATGGTTAAATCTGTAAACTAAAGACAAACACTTGGCGTCCAAATGTCCAGGCTGGACTGTCCTTATGGGTCCCATTTCCAGGACGTCATTCTGAGCTCGTCGTCTCCGTTCTGAGGTCGCCGGCTTCCTGCAAGTGATAATTAAGACACTTCAAAGTTTCTTCTTCATCTGTGGCCCGGAGGCTCACAGAACAAGGACCACTTCAAACGCAGAGTAATTAAATTTCTCTGCAAATTAACGAGCGCCGGTGTTTACGCCTCCATGAGACAATCACTGTGGCAACAAGCAGCGGACTCAGGAGACAGCAGATTAATGAAACGCAAACAGCAGAGGCCTCTTCACAAAACCTCCATCGTATAATAATCTGACAGAAACAGCTGATCCTGCGGCTTCACGTCCGATGGACTCAAAACATTATTTACTGTTGGAAATCTTTATTATTAATGTGGTGGCTTTCCCAGAGTAAACCTATTAAGTATTTAGAGTATTTATCTGCATGAGGGACCAACTGATGAAACATCTGCAGACGCATCAATAAGTTCCAGCAATAGGGAAATTAAAACTCCAACAAAAACAACAGAAACATCGTAAAAAACAGATGGAAACAAGTTCAGGTCCCGACATTAAAGGATCATTAAAGGGCCGGTCACAAATTATCAGCAATAATTTGGATTAAGAAGAAGAAAAATTGGATTCTATTCTATTCACTCTGACCAAGCTAAATATTTAGCTTTAAGCTCCTGGATTGTTTGAAACAAAGATTCAAACTGAATACTTAATCAAACTAAAATATTTAACATACAAACTGAATGTTTGGTTAGTCAACTAAATATCTAGTTGCTAACTAAATATTCATCTCCAAACTATCAGTTTGTGCCTGAATGTTTATGATCCAGAGAAGAAGAAAAGAGCCGAATTCAGCTCACAGTGAGATAAAATGTTTTCAGTTACTGCAGTTAACAGGTTTGGATTTGAGCGTTAGCCTCACCAGTTACTATGTTGGTGTGATGCTTTGGCATCAGGCAACCAGTAGTTAATACAACTATTCATTAATTGTGTTTTTGTTAGTAATATTTAAATGTAACCATGGGGCCGGGGGCCACAGTAACATCAGCTCAAGGCCCTAGATGGGTTAAATACGGCCCTGGTTATTTTAACTCTTCCTGTTGAAGAATCTCAGGCGATTTGAATAGAAATATTCTCAATCAGATGTTGATTTTCCTGTTGCAAAGACTCTGAAAACTGAGCCTGAAAATGTTCCAGGGAAATGATGCGGGCAGTGACCAGAACCAGAACCAGAACCGAACTGCTTCCTGGCTTAAAAAAAAGGAAAAATGAACTTCTTAAAAATCTGTTTTTAAGCTCTGGAAGCAGAAATGCTGAAGGCCGGTTCGGCGGTTCTGGTGTCGGTTTGGACTTTGACCCAGACGTGGATGGATTCTGCTGCCACCGAACCGAACAAACTGACAGAGAAAATACCAAACTACAGAAACTCTGCCAGTGTTTGCCTGTTTGCTAACTTTAAAAACCTCCCGAACCGAACCGACCACGGAACCAAAACACAGCAGCCCGTGGAGCGAGTCCGCGGCTGCGCGCGCTCCTCTCCACGCTGATCCACTTTGACGCGCAGAAACTTTCTGCTCACCAACAACAAGCCAAGGAAAGCATGCAAACCTCAGCTAAAACTAACAACACACACACACACACACACACACACACACACACACACACACACACACACACACACACACACACACACACGCGCGTTACCTCTGCCGCGTCTGCAGGCGGCCGCGCCGAGCAGGCAGCTGATCCAGACGGCGCTCAGGATCCAGGACGGAGAGCCAGACATGCTGCAGCCACTGCAGGTTCCAGCAGACTGGGAAGCCAGCAGGAAAACTTCAACTGTTACAGCTGTGTGTGTGTGTGTGTGTGTGTGTGTGTGTGTGTGTGTGTGTGTGTGTGTGTGTGTGTGTGTGTGTGTGTGTGTGTGTGTGTGTGTGTGTGTGTGAAAGGGTGTGTCCTTCCGTTTTGATAAGAACGTCACATTCAATAAAATTCCCAATAATTTCCTTGCAGTTTTGCTTCCAGGAAAAACAATTCCAGCTGATATTACGATGCATAAGTAATAAATCTGACGGGTTCACACTCTGCGGTCCAAATGGGATCAGAGGGCAGTTCGCTGCTGTTGCCATGGTGATTGTGTGCGTTTCCTTACAGATGTGCGCAAAACTTTGTCGATTTTCCGCTAATGGCGAAAAAACCACAACTTTTCATTTATTAATAAAATTAATAAATGAAAATAAAATCACACAGGAATGTTGTTCACACGGCGCCATCATCCTCTAACTACTTCCTGTTCCCACCCCGCGCCACTAGAGGCAGCATCAGGCCGGAAAAGATGCGACTGAGCAGCAGATTCAGAAGAACACAGGAAGCTACAGAATCTGTTAAAAAAGAGAGAAAACCCTTCCTAAAGATGAAAATATATCACAGATTTCAAAAGAAAATAAAAACGGGACACTGTGATAATACAGGGAGTAGCGCCCCCTTCACTTCCGGAGTGTAACTGCTCCATTTCCATATAAGGTCTGAGATTCCTGCAACCTGCAACCATCAGGAGGCCAGACTGCTGTCAGGGCAAGACAAGCAGCTGAAATCCAGATAGAAAACACAAAGGAGCAAATTTCTGCCAAAAACTGACAAATTTACAGAATTATCTCAGAAATTGTTTCAGAACAAACAAAAACATTTCTGAGAATTAAAAGTTGAAAATCTCTGACTTTCAGAAATTTTCCGAGATTGAAGTCAAAATTCTGAAATTTCTGAGTTTTTTCTCAAGTTTTTGAGATTAAAGTCAAAATTTCTGCTTTTCCAAATTGTTTTTTTTTTTTTTAGAAAATTTCTGATAAGAACCTCAGAATTCCAGATGATTTTCCAGCTAAATTTTGACATTCACACTTAAATTTTATAAAAAGAAATATCAGATTAATGTCTATTTTCTGAATTTTTATCAAATTTTTGACTTTACAAATTTATGCTTTTCCAAATTGTGATCTAGAAAATTTGTGAGTTTTTCACAAAAAGTGACATTTTTTCAGTCTGCAACGGTCCTAATTTTGCTGTCGTAGTTTGCAACTGGGACAGAAAAGAGAAATTATTTCCTTAAATCAATTGGACTTTTTCCTCTGATGCTTCTTCATCTGACCTGGAAGGTTGTTTTGTTTTTCTGTATCTTAGCTAAATGAAAAAACAGCGTCAGAGTCAGATAATATGGACGAGACAGGAAGTTCAGCTGCCTGGTCATGCACCAGTCATTGCTGTCATCATGAGCTGTTAGTCATTTCATTTATAATTTATGTCCAACTACTCCCTCATGAGTAACAAGCAATCAGGAAGTAAAGAAACTTCAGACTCAGATTCAGATTTATTTGTATCCTAAATGGGGAATTAATGTCACAGGAAGTACAAAAACTAAAAATTAGTCTTGATGTAAACTCTGCTTCTCAAACTGTTTGTGTTATTGCAGGTATTTACAAGGTAAATCTGAGATATTTACTGCAGATTAACTTTTTTAAGAACCAAAAACTGAGATAATTCCACCTATAAAACATAGAATAGCACAGAAAACGTAAAAACTAAAAAGCTAGTTGCGCTAACCCTGCAGCACTAATCATATTTATTAGTTCCACTAATGCTAAACTAATATGGAATTTAGCAGAAGCTAATGCTAAAGCGCTTTAGCATTAGCTCTGCTAAGATACATTTTAAGATATTTTTAGCATCTGTTGTCTGATTCTGCAACTTTCCTATTTCATATTAGTCCAGAAAAATATTGATTGTACAAATTGATTCAGTAAATATGAGCAAACCTTTTTAAAAGTACGACAGGAAGCAGACAACAAAACAAAATGTGACCAGTGGGGGGCACTGCAGGCTTTTTTTCAAACACTGTATGACAGTAACTTCCTGTTACACACTGAATCAGAACAATTAGAAGCTCTCAGGTTATTAAACAGCAGATCGACTTTTCATTTGCAGTAAATAAAATTACTGCAAATGAAAAGTTTGGTGGAAAACTTTCAATTTTCCTGCCTGAAATTCTGAGTAAAAATGTAACAAACTGCATCAGTTCATCAAACAAAGAGCATTATAGACAAACCTGAGCGTCCTCTTCATCATAATGTTATAATAATACAAGAACTGAGTGTCTTCAGTCAGAAGCTTTGTCATTGCACTGTAATACAGACCTCTACAGGAGATCCTTCCTGCGCACAGCCATTAGCATCTACAGCAGCTCTTTAAAGAAACTTGAGTTACATTTAACTTAGATTACCAAAGTGTTTCTGAATAGACCCGTAAATAAATGATAAATAAGAAAAACAATACAAATCTGACTAAACCAATGTGATATCTGAGCTCTTTGTTGCTGTATTTCACATTTTCCACAATTAAACATGTGAAATGATGAAATGAATCTGAGTATTTTATCTGTGGTTTTGTCAGTATGAAATCACCAAACGTGGGAACTCCTGTTTGTTTGCTTTATCGCTCTCTGATAGAGACGGAGGAAAATGTAATATTAGCTTTTTCTCCCCCAGGAAACGCCGAGGTCTGAATCTGCGGTCAGGTTCATGAGGACATCTGACAGTAAGACCAGAAGACAGAGGAAACAGGAACTGATGTCTCTGAATATGGCCGAGGGTGAGGATAAAATGAGTCAGTTTAGATGACGTCAACACACCCTGAGTAAACGATGATGCTTCGATTTCCAGGTCAATGTCTGATTCCTGCATTGTGAGCTGATTCTCTGGGTCAGTGGCTGAAATCTTTCAGCGCTGATTGACGTCTCCTAACAGCGACATGGATCCTTTATCTCTGCTAAACACGGAAAACACAACAAATATCAGCTTTTGTTCTCTCAAATTCCCACCTACACTTCATAGAAAAAAGATGACTTCACAGTTTGTTGGCAATGAAACAGAAAGCTGTTTTTTTTAGAGTGAGGCTAGTTAGCTGTTAGCTTAGCTTTAGCAGATCTATTCCAGACAGTTGATACATTTCATTTTCCAGCTGAACATTAATAAATAGGTTTCATCTGTCTCAAATTTCTGCTAATCCTATAATAGCACAGCTAATTTTTTCACTTAGCTTTTTGCTAACTTTGAAAACGTGAAGAACGCTAAATGCTAATTTGTGTGACTGTTTTGAAATTTCAGTTGAATGAAGTTCAACATCTGTGTTAAAGTTTTTGTTATCAAATGTTAAGGATTTTTTAATTAGTTCAACGTTTATATTCCTGCTATTATTTTGAAGTCGGTGAAGATCAGGACTACATCACAAGGCATTCTGGGTAAATATAACCAAAACCAAGGTGTGCATTTTCACTACCAGGAGAAATGACTCGAGGTTTTTAGACAAAGACAAAAGAAAAATCCTACAATCACTAAATCTGATGCCTCCATTTTTGTTTCCATTTCATGAAGAAGGAAGTTGTGCTGAGTGTCTTCATGTGTTGTTTCCTCCAGTGTTTCTTGGAGCAGCGCCCCCACAGGCGAGGAGGGGAACAGGTTGCTCAAAGATTGTGAAAGAGAACCAAAAAAATGTGACAAATGTTGCGATTTGGGTCCCAAATCGAACCGATTCTACCGGACTATCAGGCGTGAAAATGTACCTGGTTTCCCCAAGTCTAAGGTCGGCGAACATTTTGAATTTGGTTTCGAGCGTAACCGCTGTGAAAGCTTTAAGTCTGCAGAACATCTCAGTGTGTAATCTTTTCTGTTTTCTACCCTGAATGTGACCAAATACTGAAGTCTGGATCTGTGAAATACTCCACATATAAAACTTGCTTCAGCTTTTATGATGACTTTACCAAAGTTTCAGAGTGTGATCTCTATCACAGAATCATTAAACTAAAATATTTTCAGTTTGGAGCAACAATATAGGAATTGACTTTGCTGTTTGGCTCAAATGATATAAAAAAGGGGCTCATGACCTTTAACCCTGCTCTGCAGGTTCACTGCAGTAAGTTCATTGACTGGCTTTTACAGCTTCAGGAACATTTTTATTATTTGCTCTCATTAAGTTGATAATCTGAGGTAATCTTATCAGATGAGAGCGAAACAAAAACTAAACTAAGTGAATATCCGACTCTTAAGCCTGAAACTTCACATTAAAAGAAACTTTAAAAAAGACGAGGCAGTGAGTGTTTGGTGGAGGAGAAAACGCTCCAGGGAACAAAGCCGGGTGAGACTGATTGGTGTTGCTGCGGGCTTTGTCTAATCAATCTCCCTCTGTTTCCATACGCAGCGGCGAGCTTCAGAACCGTCTGGATCCCGGCCAGCGCCGACTGCTCCAGTTGGATGCAGAGCCACAACAAAAACACTTTCATCTTATTTTCACACAAACTTCTCATACGATAACTTGTTAACCTTTAATAAATAACCCATCCAGTTGCATATAATCAGAACTATAAGTTTAACTGAGTCGACTCAAAACCCAAAATGCAGAAACAGCAACAAGAGATTCTGACAATCAGCTTGTTGCAATTTACCGACTGAAATGTTGCTAAAAGGAAAAATTTCTGAGACAATAAATTAAAGATTAAAGATCAGGCTGAAGTCAAAATGAATAAATAATCTGAACACAAAAACGTTTATCGTAGTGAAATTGTAATTTATTTGATCAAAAGTGACACCAGGAAGTGTCTTTAAACTTTAATTTATTGGAGTTTCTGTTTCTCGCACTTTGTCACTGCTGTCAATTTAAAATGATCAGGTTGTAGACTTTGACTTTTCACAACAGTCAGAACTAAATCCAAATATTCTGGCTCCTGTTGAGACGGTGACGTCTGCTTTTCGGGTTTCCAGAACAAACAAAAGCCAAACACAGCCGGCTTCTCCATGAAACAGACCTTCTTTCCCCTGG